TTTTTAAAAATATTATTAAAAAAATTTAACATTTAAATTCAATTTTTTATTAAAAAAGTGAAAAGGATTATAAAAAAATATAGGAATAAAACAGCTTTTTTTTTTCTTTATAAAATATTGAATATGAGGTTTAATTTCACTTTTTTTTCGTGCAATCGTTAACATTAATTTGTTGATTAAACCAATGAAAACCTCACATCGTAAAAGAAATTTTTTGTCATATGCAGGTTTTGTTCATCCTGAATTCGATTTGATTTTATGAATTAATAAATTCGAATATGATTTTATCCGAAATTTTTTTATTTTTTTATATCTGAATTCGATCTTGATTCGATATTATATAAATCGTATCATATTCAATTCGAAATTAATAAAATATATATTTTAGAATATAAAATATTATTTTTTAATATAAAATATCTAAAAATATCATTATATAAATATATATTTAATTAATTAATTAATTAAAAAATAATTTTTTATATAATATCAAATCAGTTGAGTCGAGTTTACATAAAATTTGAATCTAATTCGAACTTAATTGTTTTCTAACCTTATTCAATCAGACCTGAAACTCAAATTAAAAAAAAAAATTAATCTCATAAAATCGAATCAGATCAAAACAAATCAAATCAAATCAAAACTTATCGAAAACGAATTGAATTGACGTGCCTAATGGAGGGATCAAAGTCATTTAGGAAGGGGTTTGACTCGAACAGTAATAAGGGAGGTGGGTATGTGTTTCTTTCTGCTACAGAATTTTAGAACCTTCATCGATGCGGCCGTTAAAAGGACCCTTTTTTTTTTTACGCTGCTTTCTTTGAACCGACGAATAATTTCAGAAACAAAACATAAAGCTCATTATATTTTTATTCTAAAATGTATATTTTGTTAGGACATGTAGAGTCTAATTATTAAAATTAAAAATATAATATTCTCATAAAAGATCACATAATTATTGGCTCTTGCATATCTTTTGTTTATTCGAGGATTTAATAAAAAATATATAAAAAGTAAAATTACAATTCTCTAAACAAAATAGTTTGGACGAAAAGCAACGAAAGAAAGGAAAATTATCCGAATTAGTGATCATGGTTTGAGCCTGACCAAGCCCAAACTCCCTGTAACAAACCATTCTTCTTTACACTATTTATTCGCTTTGACCAAAATTGTAGACTTAAAACTATAACAATGTTGGGCCTCAAATTCACCATTAACCAAGCTGACTGCTAGGCCTGCAGATGCACTTTCCATCTTGTCTGTGAAGCACTCAAATGAACCTCTCTCTCTCTCTCTCTCTATATATATATATATATATATATATTATATTTATTTATTTATTGCCAAAAAAAATCCAACCCCAACCTAAACCAAACAGATAAATATTTTTTTATTAAATAATTATATTATAATAGTACAAATGCTCAAACAAAAATATTAGTCAAGCAGGGGCATCTTCAATCAAAAACCAAAACTCCAAGATAATGTCGGAAAAGTCCCAGGTTAGTATAGAGCTGGTGATAATTAATATAATTATTATATGAGAATTGGGATAAGAAAATGACATTCTCTCCCTTTTGCTTCAATTCAAACAAAATTAGCGGAGGTGGGGTCTATCCGTGTTATTATTATTGCATGTTTGCTGTGTTTGGTCACTCAGAAAATGTTCATCTGTAAGTGGAATTTGTTCATTTTATTACACTAATAATAAAAAGTAGTAGTTGTAGTCTCTTTCATGCTTTTCTTTGTCTTTTTTTTTTGGGGGGGGGGGTTTTGTTGAATGAGTTTAACATGTAACTAATCCCAACTCGATTAAAAATCTCACGTAGGCGCACTTTTAGCAAAACATATGAACTTGTAGATAAAAATAAATTCAATTCTAATCACACAGTCAAAACCCCAAACTCCATTTGCCTTCTTTCCTTCCTCTGTCATTGTATCACATTGTCTGGCGCGCAACTTCTTTCGTGGAAGTCACTTCTCGAAGATTAGTCAGCAGGAAAATGCTTAGATTCTAGGCTGCAAATTTCAACCTTCGTTTTTCCTTTAGCTTTACCTAATATGCTAAAAGATCATTCAGGAAAGAGGAAATGGAGATGGTTAAAATCATTCAAATCAGTTTCTCGAATCTTTGATTTATTCATATTGCTAAAGCATCCAATTCACTTGGGCTCCTGTAAACGAAGGAGACAAGACAAAAGTTTTATATTCTTAAACCAAAATAGTCAAGCAACCTCAACCGTCGCTATTAAGCAGAAGAAAGTGGGAAAACGAAGATTCATCACGGATCACCATGAAAAAGAATGTCGAAGATACTGGGGAGGATTGAGAAAGAAGAGAACAACTGCAACTGTTTAAACCCTGGGGGGAATTGGAGCAGCGGTTGTGGTAAAATTTTCAGGTCTAGCAGCCAAGGATTTTTTTCCATTTAGAAAATAAAACCCAAATCAATTTCACATTCAAAGTGAATTCACATGCAAAGTGAAAAGAGACGATAACAGATCGAGTCGGGATGAATTTTGTTACTTCGAATCTCAATTTGATTTAATATTAAAATATTATTTTTATATTTTTATCTAATATAAATTATATATATTTGCATTCATAATCATTCGAAATTAAAAGTATTATTTTTTAAATATAAAATATATCAAAAACATATATAAATATAAAATTAATAATAATAACAAAATAATATATATATATAATATATGTTAGATTGGGGAGTGGTTTTGCATATAACCCAATCTTGATTTCTCGATTTGATCTTAAATTCGATTTTAAAAAATAATTTGATCAATAAAAATTAGATTGAATCGAAAACCAATATTTGAAAATTGTAAGAACGATAAATTTTTTATGAATATATTCGAGATTCAATAATCGTCTAGAAAGGTAATCAAATCATAATTTAAGCAGCTAAACAAAGCAAAATAATATTCACAAACTCATAATCTCATATAGCATAAAAACACAATAAAATAAGAGCCAAAATTTCAAAACTATACTTACTCGATACATCACAATTTCTTTAATAATTAATTAACTGAACCTTGTGAGACTTTATTTACCACTTTACCCTCGACACCCCCTTTCATTTCACCAGTAACCGCCACGCCAAAGCCTTGATACTGAGGTGGCACACCAACACCACCCGGCGCAGTATAATAAACCTGCCCGTCGTACGCTGCCATCTGGGCGTATGCACTATCTGATACCCCTCGGCTAGGCGGCCTCATAACCTGCTGCGGATGCGGCATGGCTGATATAGGCTGGTGTTGAGTCGGCGGAGGTTGCGCCACCATGTTGTAAACAGGTTGCTCCCGGTAGACTTCATGTGGCATTCTCTGTATGTTGGTGTAGTAGCCTTGACCGGCTTGTCCAGTTACCTGTCGAACCATTTGTGGTGCTGCTGGTGCAGGTGCTGGAGTTGGAACTGGAACTGGTGAAGGTGCGTGGTATACGGTGGCCGGAACCTGTCCCGGTGCTGGGATCATGTAAACAGGATGTTCCGCCTGCGGTAGTGGGCCTGGGGCTGTAGTTACGGTTGCTGGGAAAACCTCCGGAAGAAATTTGTTTATCGACAGAATCAGCTGTAGCCTGCATATGCTGTTGTAAAATTTACCGGTACAGTCCACCGGTGGCGCTTTTTTCAGGTAACTTCTGGGTGTAGTATTCCCTTGTATAAGGCAAAGAAGCAGCGTCTTCATTCTTCTTCGCATACAAAGCCAGCTGTTCTTGATCCCGAATATGAAGCCTCTGCAATTCTTGTAACTGTCTATGAATTTCAACCGGATTAAAAACATGATCTGTACCCACGACTTCCGGTATCGGAGGAGGCGGCGGGGTCACCGGTTCGCCACGGTATCGAAGGATTTTCACCGGCGGAGGTGGAGCTATTCCCTTTTCAAGTCCAAACAAGAAATCTACATTGTTTGGTGGATCGGAGCGTTTTTCTCGCGTCCTGGGGTCGGACCGTAATTCAAAGCCTCCAAGAATGATCACGGTCCGATTTCGTCCCTTCGCTCCTGGAATTCTCGGAGCCCGTCACCGGAAATAGGAAGAGCCGCATCCTGGCTGGCTTAGCCGAAGCTTGATAAAGGCGATCGTACTCGTGCATCATGTGCTCGAGATCATCGTCGTTAGTGACAGAAATAAGGGCGTCGAGCTCTTCGCCGGGGAGCTGGTACTTGAATGAAACGTTAACGTCGCCACCGCCGCAGAGAGCGGAGAGCTTGGAGATCATTGAGGAGAATTTGATGGTGCGTTCAACGGCTAGGATCTTGGTCTCTCCGCCGATGTAAGATAGCAGGTTGTCATGAGGTCGAGGGTGGATCTTGCCTCCGTAGCTGCATATAAACTTGGCCTTGTAGTTTTGTGCATGTTGCGGTTGGTCCTCCCATGACGGTGGATTTTCGAGGTCGATTTCTCGGGACCGTGGCGAAGAGTCGCCGGAGTCCGGATACGAGTTATAAGAGTAATTCTCCATTTTTTTTAAATTAAAAAAAAAAAAGGATGAAAATTTTTACAGAGAGGCTTTGAGAGGAGAGTGTTTATGGTTTAGTCCACGAAGAAATTGAGAAGATTAAAATCCTCTGCCGAATGGGAAGGGGTTGGGATACGGTGACTGACAAGTGCATGGAAGTTGTGTTCTGTGCAGTATGAAATGGCAAGGGTGATTTAGGGTTCGATATAGTGACAGGTGGTGAGGTGTGAGGAAGATAAAATGGAAAAGAGGGTGGGTTCGGGTCGAGTGGGTTCAGAGGGGTACTCGAGGGACCAAGCCTCTGGGGTGCATTGATAGAGAGAGAAGGGATAAGAGAGTGCTGTGTTGACTGGGATTGGACAATCAATTCGCTCTTTCATCTGCCAATTGCACTCTGAAGCTGCCAAGTGCCAGACACTTAGGATTCTTAACTACACTTTGGCGCGTCCCACCATTTCACCAAATCGGACTTTCACCTTCAACTATCTCTACGATTATTTGTATTTGTATCCTGCTTATTAAAATTTATTGTAACCAAATATAACTGCTATTCTTGAAATTTGTCATGAAAATTTATCAAAAACTTAAATCAAACAGCTGCTCAGAATCTTTACATGGCTTTTAAAATAGGTGGTAAAATGTCGTGACCACCCCCAGATAATCAGTTTTTCCTTTCGTCTACCCTGTAGGGCATATGCTTTAAAATGGAATTTCATTACATTTTTTATATATTAGTGGAGTAGTAGTATTTGTTAAGCAGAAGAACGCGTCGTGAAGTCATGGGAGAAATAGGGCGGCCCGCGTGGGAAAAGCAAAAAATTGCAGATATCGTGAAGCACCTGATGCGTTATATTGAGATTCCACTATTCTTTTACTCTCTCTCTAAGAAATTCATTCCCATTACTAGTACTATTTATTTTTCATTTTTAAGACCTAGAATTTATTGATAAATCAATCGGTAACTCTAACCCAATTTATTATTATTTTTTAAATCATAATATATAGTTTTTATCTTAATCATGACTTTAACTTAATAATTAAACGACACTTTCACTAATTATTGGATATTAATTTTTTTATTCTAATTTTCTTCCCTGAAATCATGAAAAACTCCAATTATTTCTTTAATACAATTAAACCTTCAGTCATTATCCTTAAGCATGTGTGTTGTCACACAGATGACAATGAGTAAGTCTTTCACCATAGTATCACCCTTTTTTCCAATTCTGTGCGAAGGAAAAAAAATTGCAATCTCCAAAGTCCGACACATCCAAAGGCGATTGTGGGCTAATGATTTCCGTTTAAAATCACTCATTTTTTGTATTTGGTTCAGCAGAGATAGGAATGGCTTAACCAGACCAAAAGAAAGAGACATACAGTGATAGCAATCGTGGAAGAGTGCTGATCACCGGAGTCATCAAAATGGTGGAACTTTAGAAATGATTTGGAAATTTGTCTTGGAGGTTGAAGGCTATTTTGTCAGCGAATAGCGTGAAGGATTGCATCATATTACAATTACCTTCTATAATTAAAGGATCCGTTGTAAATCACAACTATGACGTGTACGAAAATGTTTTTCATTCTCTTGAGCTGTTAGACACTACTTTTGATTAAAACTTTAAATCATATCTTAAGATTTCAAAATCACCCAAATCATTTTTTTCCTTGCACCAAATCAATGAAATTTGAATTTTTTTCTCTTATAGTTATCATTTCATAAACAGTGGTGGAATCCTTTATTTAAAAATTTATTACAAATCTCCTCTATTAAAAAAAAAATATCGCAAGAGAGATTGGGATTCCACAGTTCAATTCCAACAAGGCGCGGTTTCTCTCTGTTTTTTAGTCTAAACGACATTGTTAACGTGTTTGGATAACATTAGCAAAGTACAGTACCCTCCAATTATTCCCTTGAATTAAAATGTTCAATCCGAAATTTCGTGTTTAGTAATTATTTTATATCTCAATTAATTTAAAATTAAATTAGATTAGATCTTATAAAGAGAAGCTTTCATAAATTTATTTTTTTATTTACAATATTTAAAATCAAAATTTTATTTAAAAAAATTAAACTCCTTATTATTCAGATTAATTTAATTTGTTTATTGCATTTCTCGTTTCATTTTTGTTTAAGATTTTTTTTGGCCTCAAAGTTTGAGTAATTTTTATGTTATTTAACTTCTCATTTTTTTATTCTTCATTTTGTTTTCTATTTAAAAATTTTAAAATAATTTAATTGATTTAGTGTAATAAATAAATAAATAATACATATTAATATTTTGATTGAATACACATTTTAAGATTTTAAACCTTATAAATAATATTAAAATATTAAATAATTTACCAATAAATTTTTAGAGAAAAATCTATAATAATTATTTTTATTTTCTTTTTGTTGTCATCATTATTTTTTATCAAAAAATATATTTTATCATTAATTTTAATATCATTATTATAATATTTAATCTTATAATTATAGTAATTAATTTTACAATAATTTTAATTTTCAAATTTATCAAAACTCATCTTATTTCCCACTCAACTTTTAATGAGTCGGAGCCAAAAGTAAACCACCACGGCCAACCAATTATTTTGATAGGATGAATATCGACTCGTTGGTCTGAATGAATGATGTTCACACCCCCCCCCCCCCTTTTTAAGACAGTTGTCATTTGACTTACCCATCCAACACGGCACAATCAGAAATGAAAAAAAAAAAAAAAAAAAAAAACCTTAACAACTCTTCAATCATTTCAACGAAGTTGGTAAAACACACAGAAACACATGTGTAATATAGTACTAGTACGAGTGTTTCTTTATCTGTCTTCTTCTACTATTAGATACAGTACCAGTCATTCATTTCTAATATTGTCTTTTTTTTTTTTAGCAGATTTAGTGATTTGTATATTTTATTATATAAAATATTAATAATTTATATATTTATATTATATTTTTTAATTTTGTGTTAATATAAAATATATTTTTTAAATTTTATTATATTTATATTATATTTTTATTAAATTTTAAATAATAATATATTTTTATATATTTTTAATATTATATTTTAATTTATAAAAACTTGCCTTGACTCAAAAGAAAGGCTTTCATTTGTAGTCAAAATCTCTAACAAATTTGACAAACCCTCCCTACTTTCCCTTAGCTTCTTATTTTTCCATCTTTTTTCTCAACCCCTATTAGTAATATAAATATGATATAAAATAAAATAAAAAAGTAACATAATTTAAAATTTTAATAATAATTATATATAAATTTAATAAAATTTAAAAAATATTTTATATTTTTATATGAATATGAAATTTATTACATAATTTTTATATAAAATATAATATTAATATATAAATTTAATATTTTATACTATATAAATATATAGATAACCAGATATACTTTGAGAAAACTCCAAATTGAATCTTTCATCGGCAAATATAAAATGGGCCAAATAGTAGAACAATATAAGTTATTTTAAGGTGACACGCATGGGGCAGCCCAACTGCCAGGAAAATGGGATTTGATTTGGGTGCATTTGGACCCCAACCGCAACCGAAGACTTTGAATAAAACACAACTCCTCGAGGAAAGCCCGATGCACGCTTGCCAACGAAACCAAACAGGCGTCCTTCATAGCGCATCAAATGGCTCCAACCACATCCACCGAATTATTGTAACTCAGTAACTCTTCACTCTAGCGCAACAAATAGCTCCAACCACTTCCACTGCACTATTGTAACTCATTAACTCTCGACTCTGACCTCGCAAATGCCATTAGTCATACAAATAAAAAAGACTTTGGTCCAAACTCACCCAATAATCAAAACTCTCATTGCTACATTCACGCAAAGAAACAAGACAAAACTCATTAGCAAAGATGGGGAAGAAGCGGGTTATGGTGCCAGCCGAGAAACTGGACTTGTCGACCGTGAAATACGAGCACGAAGTAATCAAAGGTATCAGTTTTCATGAATTATGTGTCTGAATGTGTTTTTCTTTACGGGAACTGTAATAGATCTGACCCTTTGACTTAGAATTTGATCATTTCTTTTGTTTTTGGTTGTTCCGGGTGCAGCTCCTCATTTGACGGGTTTGATGCTCAAGTTGTTTGTGAGGATAATTGAAGCTCCAGTTATCGGTTCTTTGATCATATCTCTCTTGAAAAAGCAGAACAAAATAGTTGAGGTCCGCTTTTGTGCCTTTTTTTTTTTGTTTTAATATCCTTATTAGTTATTACTCAGTTTGAAATTTGGGTATTATCAAGAGAATTTAATGGTTACTTTCATGTTTGGTGCACGCAGATGTTGCAGAACACTGTGATACCAGAAGCACCCATGTTTAAACCTGAATTTCCTCCCCAAGGTTTAGTTTATTGCCACTTTTTTCAATATATAATTTTGTTTAATTGTATTTTCAGAAGAAACTTTTGTTCTTTGATGATGGGTGTACGATGTTTTAACGTCTAAATTAGTAAATTATGAATTCTAATTCTATGTGTTAAAAGTAATTTGTCAAAGTTTTGCATTTCACCATGTGGTCAGTTGGTAGTAACAAATTTTGAAATTGGATGCTCCAAGATAGCCATTGGCATTTTTTTTATGGTAATATTTTTGTAGGGTTTATTGTGATAAGTTTGAGAATGAGAAATATGAATTGAGCGAGAAGCATATCAATGGCTTTCATAGGTATCATTAGTTTCTGTACTTTACAAACCTAGCTGATCATTTGTATGATATCAAACCAGAAGCAGAACCTTCTGTTGTCATTGTGGATGAAGAAGGAAAACCTGAAGACCGAGTTGAATCAGCCTTAAAGTGTCTTCCTCATTATGATCCTGCTAGTTGCTGGAGTGGGGATTCGCTTCCATCATTCCGATACTGGAAGATTCGTGATTATGCTTATGCTTATCGATCTAAACTTGTGACACCTTCTATGGTAAGTCACCATTAAATGCCAGAGAGTTGCTTTTGCTCTAAATCAATTACAATGGAAATTCCCACTTTTTGGTTATAGGTTGCAGAACAAATCATCTCAGTTATTGAGGAGTGTAACTATCATAAGCCCCCAACACCATTATTGGTTTCGTTTGATGCTGAGGAAATAAGGAAGCAAGCTGCAGCTTCAACACAAAGGTTTGAGGAAGGTATTGTGGTATTATCTGTTCATGATGCTATTTGAGCCTTTTCGTCCACATATTATGGTTAATATAAGGTTCTCCACCTACAAAAATCTTATAAATGAAAATCACTGAAAAGGAACTGTTGCTGCAAGTCATGCAGGAAATCCGTTGTCAATCTTGGATGGAATATTCTTGGCAATCAAGGATGATATAGATTGCTATCCTCATCCATCTAAGGGTAAATAACCTCACCACTTATTTTCTAAAATAATGTTTTCTTGAATTTTTTTTGGTAGTGGCAGGAAAGACAGATTGGAAATTTTTTTGATGACAGGGGCAACAACATGGATGCATGAGGTTCGCTCTGTTGAGAAGGATGCAGTTTGTGTCTCAAGATTGCGGAGTTGTGGTGCGATTTTTATTGGGAAGGCCAACATGCACGAGTTGGGCATGGGCACAACTGGAAACAATCCAAATTATGGGTAAATTTGTTGTTTGGCAGATGTATAACAGATGCATATTTAGATATGTTATTTCAGTAATGTTTTTATTGATTGTTAATTGCAAGTACCTTTCATGGCTAGCGTAATTAATCCATACGAACTTCTAGAACTTATCTCATTTGTTTTTTTAATTTATCAATGTATTGAGGTACAGAACAACCAGAAACCCTCATGCACCTGAAAGATATACAGGTGGATCCTCCTCTGGTCCTGCAGCACTTGTAGCTTCTGGACTATGTTCTGCTGCCCTGGGAACAGATGGTGGAGGTTGTAAAAGTTATTACCTTAGTTGGAGTCTTGTTTATTTCATTTACAATATATTGATGTTCTGTGGTTTACTGAAAACAAAGGCAGGTTCTGTCCGCATTCCTTCATCCCTTTGTGGTGTAGTGGGCTTGAAAACAACTTATGGGCGGACGAGCATGAGAGGGTAAGCTCTTGTTCTGTAGGCTGCATAACGGATTGCTAATTTTTGTTTTCTGTAAACATAAGAACTTATCATTGTTGGTTTTCATGGCAATTGTAAACCAAAATTCTATGATGCTCAAGCAAACCTTTTTAAAGATGTTCAGCACTCACTTTATTGTATTTACAAAGCTTTATCTCCACAGATCGCTATGTGGTTCTGGGACTGTGGAAATCATTGGACCAATAGCATCAACAGTGGAAGATGTCATATTAGTGTAAGAATCTGGTGATAGTCAATGGGTTTTACGGTTAACTTTTTTTTTTTTTCCAAAGAAAGAATGTTACTTTCGTATCAAGTTAAGGTAATGACTAAGCTGTTAGACCATGCATATTTTGCTGGTAAACTGAGCAGTTGAACTTTCTGGTAATGTTGGAAAATATTGGTAAAGTTGTATTTTCCTAATTTTGCTAAGGGTGCTGAGGCTTTGCCAGGTATGCAGCAATTTTGGGTTCCTCTCCTGAGGACAGAATCAGTTTGAAACCGGTAATTTTGAGAACCTTAGTAGTACTTGTCCAAACTTCTGAATTTTTTTTACTGAAATACTGTTCCTTAAATTCTCCCTACTGTTTGTTATGGACCACGTGCACATTTTCATGTTATGGAACCATATATGTCTTTTCAAGTATCTAGTTGAATTAAGCTAGTGACTCTTGTATGTTTTTGCTTGCTTAGGCTTCATTTGTTTCATGCTTTTACTATTTTTTTTTTTGCAAAAATGAGTAGAAAGCAAAATATTAAAATAAAAAATGAATAGAAAACAAAAGGCAATAGTAAAAGCATTAATCAAATGGAGCCGTAATAACTCTGCAAAATTAAAAAACCTAAACTTGTACCTTTGAGTATATGACCGCACTCTACTTTTGGTGCTTTGCATCTATTAATTAATCATTATTGTATTGTTTTTTTGTAGTCTCCCCCTTGTTTGCCAATTTTGTCTTCACTTGAGAATGAAAACTCTTTGGGATCATTGCGACTGGGGAAGTATACAGAGGTAGTTATCTTTCCTTTTTCACTGGAAGTGGATTGAATTTGAGTAATATTCTTTCTTTTAAGAAATGGTTCTCAGTATGCAGTTTTCCCCTGCAGTGGTTTAACGATGTACATTCAACTGATATCTCGAATGTCTGTGAAGATGTTCTCAACCTTCTGTCGAAAAGCCATGGATGTGAAGTAAGTTGGTCACATTGTTTATTTGCTGTCTGTTCCCTTTTTTTTTTTTTTGCAACTTTAGCATTAACATACTCATGTCATACTGAACTGGTGTTGTTATGTTTCAAGACAATAGAGATAGTAATACCAGAACTACATGAGATGCGCACTGCTCATATTGTTTCAATTGGATCTGAAACAGTATGCTTTCTAAATCCCGATCTTAAAAATGGGTATGCTTCTTTGCTTTATAATATTTAGCCTAAATAAAACTGGGGATTTATTAACACTAACGATTAAAAGTATACAAGTATTTTTGAATTAGTAGTTCTCTACCTTCAATGCTTTATTAGATATTGACAGATAAATGCCTCATTCCCTTTCTAAATTCTGTAGGAAAGGTGTGAAATTGACATATGATACTCGTACTAGTATGGCACTTTTTCGAACATTTTCTGCATCAGACTATGTTGCTGCACAATGTCTTAGGTAAGGCCAAATGACAACAGTATAATTTGCAACTTTGCTGCTTGATCTTGGGATCTATAGTAGCTACCATATATCTGAAATGGATTGCAAGCATCTCAAAATTACAAAAATTTGATTCAACGCATGGAGAATCCTCAAAATTTATGATCCTTAAAGGGGAAACAGCTTTTTCTTTGTTTGCCTATAATATCTTTAAGATTTTAGAGATATTTGAACTCTGGTTCCCACTTTTAATCTGCTCTTGAAGAACTGCCATAGCATGCTGGATGATAGAATTTCTAATTCTTAGCATGGAATTGTGAATTCTGTTGATCAGTATTTATAAAAAAGGAAAGTGAAATTAATAGGAAAAAGTAATGGGAACAAAGGAATGGGTAATGTATGATCAAACACAAGAAGAATGCTGAAGTTAATCGAGGGAAGAGACGAAGGGGCAGCATTGCATGTCTTTGATTCAAATCAGATGATAACTGAAAACATTGTCTTTACTTACATTGGGAGTCTAATAATAATAAAAAAAAAGGAAACAGTGAAGAGAAAGGGCAGTGTGTTTGGCACATTCTTTGAAAATTCACAAGTATATTATATAGAATCGTCATTTGATGAAAGCTTTCCCCCCTGACTTAAAATGCATTCGCTACTTTCTACTTGACCTGACTTGTTTCAGCCTTTCAGACGAAGGATAATGCATCATCACATGGAGATCTTCAAGAAGGTTGATGTCATAGTTACCCCAACAACTGGGTATGTAAGTTTAACCATTTAACTAAATTAATGAAATTCTTATCAGTGGGCTCATTGCCATTTGCAACAAATTCTGTTCATGAACTGATTCAAGCCTCTTCTTTGAAGAGTTTGACCTTTAAACAATTCTTCTGTTTGACTAAAACATTTCATTCTTGGCTTAAATGGTTAATTATAATGTAAGGCTGGGAGGAATTACCAAGTCATTAGAAAAGATGGGAAATGGTAAAACTACCAGAAGCCATTCCTTGTACATGCTGCAGGAACTAATTCTTTGCTCAAGCTCTGCTGCTTAGAATGATTCTTACTCCCATGCATAATTTATATATGAGAATCTGCTTTTGTGTACAACAGCATGACAGCGCCAAAAATACCACCTAGTGCTCTGAAAGATGGAGAGACAGACATGCAGGTTGCAGGTTTGTCATCATCATTATACAGAGTGACATATACGTTTACTCTTGCATCTTCTAGACTTACCATCATCTGATGTGTGGCTCACTCTGTTTCAGGTTATCTCATGCGGTTCATTATTGCTGGTAATCTTCTTGGTCTTCCTGCCATTACTGTCCCTGTAAGTGATATGCATTTCTTTCCTCCCTAATGAAGTAATATTAAATGTATCGATTAATAAGAGAGAAAAGGATCAAAGCTCAAATGTATTATTTCTCAAATGGAGAAGAACCAGTTTCATGTACTTTCAGGAACCTCTGTTTTTCCTGCTGCCTCCTCTGCTAAGAATTTGAACATCTAACTTGAACTCAACATATTTGAGACAAGAAATAGGAAACCTTGGTGTGATTTCCATTGCTATACTTGAGCAAAGGAATGATTGCAAAAGGTCTTTGGCCTTTTGAATTCCAACCTTCAGTGACTGTGCATTGCCTTCTTACCTGAGTTCCCAAAATAGATCTTTTGGAGTTTGTTGGATACGGTCATGCCTTGCTACATAACGGTTTAGACTGACTTGTATATTGGAAAAGTGAACAATGATGTTTGCTGGAAGAAAGGGAAAAAAAAGAAGGAAACCTAGCAAAAGAATTAAATAAGAAATGGAGCGAGGCAAGCTGTAGTTAAGTGAAGGTCAAACTAGCCATTACAGAACTACAATGAGGGTGTATTTTCTTCATACTCGATAAATTGTGTTCAGGCTGGATCTAGAAAAATAAAGCGGTTAACAGGGTGGCTTTTATTACATTTCACCTTGAGGAATACTTGAACTATTGCCGTAGTTAAACCATTACTACTCTTGTATTTAGTTTTTGGGCGCTGCCTGACTTGGCTTGAGAATTGTTTGGCTCATTTTCATTCTCGTTATGCTGATTTCAGGTTGGTTATGACAAACAAGGACTTCCAATAGGTCTGCAACTAATAGGCCGTCCATGGGGTGAAGCTACAATTTTACGTTTGGCTTCTGCAGTAGAGGTACAAACAAGTTTATATTTGCTCGAAAGAGAATGCTCAGAACTATGTATGAGGTGCATCGCTAATATAAAACAATCATCTCATGTTTTCAGGAACTTTGTGCTAAATCCGTGAAGAAGCCTGCCTCCTTCTATGACGTTTTAAAGACCAAATAAAAGCTTTTTACAGCTCAAGATGCGTGACCCATGTTTTATTGCAGATCCCTATGTTGGCTCTTCAAGAATTTCGCATGATGACGTGTATTGGAACACGTTGCTTATTTCATATTTGAATAAGCTATCTGTTATCATTCTGACAAACCATACTTCAAACAAACTGATGCTCCATTAGATTCTACTGCAGTTTGTCCAAAAACTACATGCTGTTATTTATTTCATTTTCACCATTCCTTGTACTCGCCCACGAAGCTGCATGAAAAGGACTTCTGGAAGCAAATAGTTGCCCAAACCTCAAGTTGACTTGGGAAAGTGTTTCCCCTAGGCTTGTCTTATTACATCATATTGAATTTCACTGTGTTCACCAAGAGTTTCCGATAAGACTTTTCTCATTATCATCATCTGGAAATTCACTGTGTAGTGAGCACCGTAAAAACGCAGAGAAGGTTATAATTGATCGGTAACAGATTAAGGTAAAACTAAAACCAAAGTCTACATCACAAGTTTTGTTGTAAAACATGTATGTCAATATCTGAGGCCCTATAACCTCTTTGCAAACGATATGAATTTCAACAACTCGTTCTTAAAAGATCTCTTACAGTCTAGTACATCTCAAATACTACTGTTGAATTTCCTCACCCACATGCTTAAGTCAGAATATGCCAAGAGAATCTTTAAAGTATAATAACATAAGCCATGTCTGATTACGAGTTTCCAACAATGCTGCTACTAAATCGCAAGCATTAGGTGGCCGAAAAAGGAAAATCACAGGAGTTAAACATGATGTTTAGACAAAGGAATTTGTATCAGGTCCTCTTTTCTTCTGCCTTCTTATCCACAACATCACTAGGGAGATCCAGGCCTGACGGAATCTTTCCTGGATAATTAGTTGTTGAGGGGTCTAATCCCATCATACTAGAGAGAGACAAAAAAAAAGTCACTAAGAAGCATGAACAAGCCAAATTGGGTATCATATGAATTTAAAACAACCCGAAACAGCAATGAGTTTGTGCTTTATATCAGCTTACCTTCTATCAACGATGACCATGGAGCGAAGCTCGCAATTTGCAAAGCTGTGAGTACAAGGTAGAATAGTTAAGAGAGGTAACACCTCAATGTAATTCTAATTATCAAGGAACTTCAAAATTTAAGGAAGCATTTTAATACACAACTTAATCACAATGAGACACTAGACGAAAGATTAACCCTGTTTGGTTGCCATACTCCTTTTAACTCGTTAAAAATCTTTAGGCACTTTCTTTTCTGGTGAAAAGCACCAACACTCTAGTTTTGGTTGAAAGAGCCATCAGGTCAAGAAATTTTTACTACCTTAAAATGCTTTCAGGTGGAATGAGCATTGATCAAACACTCAAAGCTTAAAAGTACTTCAAACTCTGGCATTGTTGCATCAAATGTGACCTAGGTGCAAAATTAGGTGCCAAAGCTTGAATGCAACTAGTAGCCATGCTATAAAAAAAGATGTTTATGAAGTAATTTGCAGATGGAGACATGCAACGTTAAGCATGCAGACACGGTATGAACCTTTGTTTATCTTTCTGAACCATATTTATATATAGCAGGTTTCAAGCTCGACTGAGATGACAGGGACATCTATTGAAAGAATCGGAAGTAGAGAATAAACTACATGTAGTACATAGATCAAGAGTGCACAGAAGCTACCAAGCTAACAGTCATGTCTAAATTTGTCTAGAGTTGACAGGATTCACCATCTAAAATAAAAGGCACTTAAGGATACTTACTGTTTGCATATCTCTTTCTTCACCAATGGGTGGCAATCATTTCCGAATGCACTTAATGTATGAAACAAGAACCCACTATGGGTAACAATCGCTATCTCCTTCTCTTTCCGTGTCCACAACCTGCAAAGTGAAATAAAGAAGCCTAAGAATCCTTTGTATGTCTACATCAAATTAAACATCTATATGTTCATAGCAGCCTCAATGGATGGCATTGTCTCCTTAGAAGACATGGAAAAATACAGAAATTAAAAAAAAAGTTACTTATAAACAATAAGTACTTCAAAGAAATATCTTTGTTAGAAGTTAAAAAAATTGCAAAAAAATAAATAAATAAATAAATCAAGTAAAATAACAGAAGATGGGATCAGTCAGAAAGATTTCCTTGATGCAAAAGTTTTGAAATTTATTTTTGACAGAGTCCCCATATTAGCTGTATCAGATACTTACATTGCAAGAAAATTCTCATATAGTGCAACAGCAACATTTTTTAATGTTAGTCCCCTTTCCTTCCCAAAATAAGATACATTAATTCTAGTTATGCTATTCTGAAATCTAAGATGATATCAAACAGTGCACAAATTAGATGCAGTAGTTTCTATGAACCATACAGTTAGGGCCTTCTTATGATCATTTTTAAAGATCTATAGATTTAAAGGAGTGATATAACCAATGAATAGTAGATAAGGTATGCACCAGTTCAGGAACTTCAGTCCCCTGGCCGCGACTTCCTCTTTTGTCTCCCTAACGTCAGCTTTCCACCATGTGTCGTCATCGCTTTCTATCTGAATACAAGTCAAAACACATTCAATATATACCTTCGTAAATCTAGCCACATTTGGTTCAGATATGAAAAGTTGAAACAGCAATGCATTTCCATGTGCATCTTAGAAATCAAATTACTTGCCAGTGAGAAATCAACTGCAGGAAAAAGAAGCTGATAGTCACTGATATTTTGTCTCTTATCACAAGGATGGACTCCCTGCAAGCAAACAAAAAAAAGAAAAAGAAGAGACCATGTAACTATTGGATATGATATTTATCATTGACATGTGACTATTGAAGCAAAGAACAATGTCAAAGCATAAACAGAGAAAATAAAATGAACATTCTCGCACCTAATAATAGGTATCAGAAATCTGAAATTGGGCAATCAAAACTAGTGCATTGGGAGAAACATAAGCCTAATAAATTGATAAGATCAATGCATGCTAACTATCTTTCCTTGTTAACTATTTCCCATTCCAGAAATCTTAAGGTTAATAGTTTCTCCATTAAATAGTGTATGAGTGTATCCACTAAAAAGGCATTGATAGGGAATCATTACAGTTAAAAATTGAAATAAGACCAACCAAATGTTCTCGACAAAGTTCTACAGCAATGATTGGTGGGCAGTTCAGACTTGAAATTGCAGCACGGTTACTTTTTGCAGCATTTGCTACCATAAGCGGTACTATATCCATCCTATCTGTATAACCTTCACCACCAAATACCCCAACAGCTGTTTGCAATGTCCTACAACATAAAGTGACCACACTCAACTTCTAAATGGAGCAATGCTATAAAAATTTATGATTCTACATTCAACAAAATATGTTAACCAAATTATATGGAACTTTACAGATATTAAAGCTTTTACCAACTCAAATTCTGATAAATAACTTCAATGTCTAGTTGAAACAACTTATAACCGACTAACATCTGCTTTGATAAAAGGAAAAAAAAAAAAAAGCAACGGCTTCATTGAATACCAAATCACTTAAATAAGACTAAATGAATAAATTGCCCATGAATGCAGGGCCAGTGTAATAATCTCAGCATCACCCTCAAGTGCAAAGAACGAGAAAAGAATTCAGAATTAAATTTTGTGTCCACAATTACCACAGATTAACACTACATCTTAATATGAAACTTAGAGGCACCATTAGAATTCCTCCATTGTATTCTCCTTGACTTAACTGAATGAAAGTTTCCAACGAACAGATGAGTATTGGCTATCTGTCACAAAAGGATAGATCCAAAATAATTTAAAAGCCATAGACAACATAATATGATACCCAGAACCTAAAATTTAAGCAAACTTCAGGCCCAAAAAGGATGTGCAGAATCTACATTAGATTCCTAGCTTTCCACTCTTCAACTAAACATATATTGATGAATTCAGCACATCAGAAACCTACATGATTCATAAAAGATCTAGCTTCATGCCCATTGAATTACTCAATTCAAAAGACTGGCATAAGAAGATATATATCGGGGAAAGATTATTGAAAGGAGTATGAAATGCTGGCACCACTACCTTAACAAAGGGGACACAATGACTAAATCAATCCTCTTAGCAAGGCCACATTCATGGACATGCTTACGCAAATTATCAACCTGCAACATTACCAATAATAAGGGTTCATACAAGATTCCTCTCATAAGAACAAGTTTCTTGCTTTTGACTATAAATATGAGCATAATCTGAATGAGGTTAGATTTAAAACGTGCCTACAGATATATATGACAACATAATGGCAGCTACTTGCCTGTTGCCAGCCGAGAGGAGTAATGTGTGCATCGAAATATTCCGGAGACATGTAAGCTTTATAGTTTTTATCTCCCACTACATTGTGAATCCCCTGAGCATGCCTCACCTGGATGTATCGTTTTATAAGACCACAATGCCTTGATTTGCGAGCAAAAGCCAAGAAAGAAGGCAATCTTGAATATCCTTCAAACCAAATGTATAGCAGCTTCAAATCTGCAATGGATGTACCATTTGAATTGAAAAATAAATTTGATACAAACCAGGTGAAGAGTTTTGCAGCGGTGCAAAGGGAACAAACTTGGGCCGGCACTGGTATCCATATCTGCAGCCAAAGACCATACCATTAGTTTAAATACAAAGAAAAAAAGAGCATAAAAGAAAATCAAATGCTGTAAAAGTATCAGAACAAGGATTTTAACACTGCATCTGGTCAATAGCATAATTATGTCAGCATATCAAAATATTCAGGTACAACAGCAAAGAATATGCAAGTTTAAAAGCAGAACTAACCCAACAATCATGTATAGTGCAAGGAAGAAATCCAGCACCATAACAACAGGAACTAACATGGTGAAATACCACTTTATTAGGGGCTCAACCGAAACTCCATTAAAATTTTACAATAACCAAGCTCGAAAACAATGAGCCAAACTAACTTTTACGTGTTTTAATCACAATTTTCTCCCCAAACTTATTGTTCTCTATTCTTAGCCTCCAAATTAACACCTTAATGTGTGGGTGACACATGTTAGAATTTTCCAGTAAGTGGGCTACTATTAATTGGTGATTTTATAGTTTAATAAAGCAGGCTGATAAATTTAGTCCTAATACAAGACATGCATGAAAGCCTAAATAATTTAATGTGATCATCTAAGTGTGGGCTTTGCACATCTTACTGGGTCAATTTGGTTTGGCAATTGTGTAGGCCTTTGGCCTAGTAAACCTTTGATGGGGAGGTTTTTAGGGTTTTAAAATAAATTGGCTAAGATCCCCTCTTCACTTCTAGGTAACGGTATTTACTCATCGAGAGCCACCAATAAGAGAAGAGCGAGGAGGAGGACCTAATCTCTTAGGAATTAATGTTGCTTCGGCTTATCATCTATAACTGCCCAAACATGTACGCAATATATGTATGTGTGACACATTGTCAGACTTCCAAACAGTAATTAGCAGGCCACTTGCCACGCTGAAATAACCCAAATTTCTTAGCTTTGCTTCTTATTATGAATAAAAAGAAAACAGAAACAAATAGAGAAATAGTTAAAAGCTTGAGGTCCCATCTCTAGTAAGTTCAATGACTACTGGATTATGGATCACTTAAAAGCTAATGACTTTGCACCAGAATCAACAAATCCAGAAGCTAAAAGCCATCAAAAGTAATTCAAGGTTTAAGTTCAATGACTACTGGGTTGTGGATCATTCAAAAAGGTAATGACTTTACAACAGAATCAACAAACCCAGAGGCTAAAAGCTACCAAAAGCATTTCAACGTTGTACCCTTCAAAAAAAGACCACGGATTTTCACCAATTCACAAACCATCTTTTCCCCTTAACCCCACCCTCCCCCGAATAAAAGGTCATCAAATCCGTATCTTTAGACAATCTATAGACCAAATCAAATGAATCCACACTGAAACAAACAAGAAAAATCATAAGCTAAAACCCAAAAGTAAACCATAAAAAAGTGGACTTTTGCGTACTAATTTAAACTGGAAAACCCAACATTATAACTAACAGCAAGATGATCCACTGGAAAAAGATAAATCACCCAAGTGGCCAAACATTAAAATAAAAAAAGGAAAATGCTTATAGGGTTTCAGGGATTTGACAATTTACCAGATCGGGAGAGAGAGGAGGTGAAGAGGTGAGCACCGAAGTGGTAAAGAGGTTGACTGGGATCTAACTGTAATAATGACACAGGAAACGAAGAAGATTAATGTTGGAGAATTGAGTTGATGACGTGTAGTTTATGCCAACAGACATCACATGGTGCTGGCCTTAGTAACTATTTTGGAGTTTAAGTTTGATCTTTGCTGTCTGTCCAGTAGATCTAACATCTTTCCTTTTGTTGATTTTTTTTTTTTTAACGGGTCTGTCAGATATATCTAATTATATAAAACACGATAAAATAATATAATATAAATAAAATATCAAAATAATATAGTTTAAAATAATAATAATTATTATATATAAATTTAATAAAATAAAAATTATATTTTATATTTTTATATTAATTTAAATTATAATACATAATTTTTATTAAAATATAATATAAATATATAAATATTAATATTTTATAAAATATAAATATATAAATCGTAAAATTTATTATCTAAAAAATAATTTTACAAATGTGATTTCTTCAGTAAAAAGTATTTTAGAAAAATACAAAATTATTTTAAAAAATATTTTTAATAGTATTTGAAAAGAATTTCTTATATTTTACAGCTAAATTTTACATAATTGCAAAAGAATAATGATGATGACGACGACGAAACGGATTGGATATTGGTTGATGGCCAATGGAAAAACAGCCCATTATCGATTCGTCAAAGATTCTCAGCCACAAGCCGAAAAGGAAGAAAAAAAATCCCTTCAAGTAGAAATAATTGTTGATAGTTGATAGCATTAACCATATTTCACTGGCGGATAATGGTTTATAAGAAACCATGCTGGTTTCTTTCATATCACAATAATGAAAAGAAAAATGCTTTCTTTCAGGAAAATACATTTCCAAATGGAATTGTTTAAGGTAGAGTGCCAATTGCATTAAACCCTCAAACTATAATGATGCCAGTTGAATTTCTACATATCAATGTCTCAATTCTCATATGCATAGAAAAAACTAAATAAAAAGTTTTTTTTTTTTTTGTAATTTGTAATCGATGCAAATAAAATTTTGACAGAAAATGGGCCTCCGAGGTGGTCCGTTTCAGCAAAATCCGGCCTTTTTTCCAATGGAAACGTTACAAAGAACTAAGTGGGCCGGAGAGTAACCCAAAAACAAAGTCACCTGAAATTTTCGTTGCCCTAAAAAAATCTGTCTGTCTCTCTATTTTTTCTCTCAAATTTCCTACTTTAGCTTGGTATCTTATCTATTTCCAATAATGATGGCTTCGGTTAGTTCATCTGCTCCGAGTCTCTATCTCTCTACTCGAACCAGACCCACTTCTATTTCGTCCCTTTCTTCGAGGTACATGTTTTTTTTTTAACATTTTTCACCTGCTTCTTTTGCTGAATTTCAAAGTGTTTTTTTCTTTTTACTTGCTCTCATTGTTCTTTCTTTGAAATCTTGTAACTTTCAGAAACTCGACGAGGTTGATAGTCTCCGCATTGCCAAACCCATATGGGGATTCTTCTACAAAGGGTAATTTTCCGGTTCTTGAAATTTAATTAGCAATTTCTTGTTGGCTTTTTATCTTTTTTTTTTTTTTTTTAATTTGGGTTACACCCCATTGATTTGATTCAAACTTGCCTATCTGTGGTTAAACTTATTCAATTAACCAAATTCTCAATTTCTGAAGTTTTACATGTTTCTGTTTCTATTGAGCTTGCCAATGTCCTTTGAGAGCTATTTTCTTCCTTTTTTTCTTTTTGGATATTTTTAATTACATGTGCTGTCTGGTTATGTACATATAAATTGAATAATTATGGGTCCAGGGTTATCTAGTAGAACTTCTGGGCTATCTCTGAAGGTCAACGAGAAGGGCTTCCATGATAGCAATCGAAGGTTTCTTATTCTATCCTTTGGCTTCAATTTCATATTACTGCTTCGTGTCTTATGCTATGAATGCATATAAATGATGTGTTCGAAGTTTGTCAAGCATAAACCGCTGGCGATCTTTAGTTGTTGACTTTTAGTCATCACTTTTTTAAAAGGGTAAATTCCTTGATGGTTTAGTTATGAAGTTTGAAGGTATCCTCTGTACTGTGTTAGGATGGAAAGGTTGAGTGTGGAAGGAAAATCCTTGATCTAATAGTTAGGTTTTGCTACCTCCTAATAGGTTACTTATTGTATGAGACAATTTTTGCTCCCCTCTAGGAAACATACCGTTGGTTCCAGTGTGTTTGACATATACATCATAATACCTTTTATGTGCAGCTATGGTGTAATAGTAGCCCAAACGGCGAATCCACCCGTAATGCCAGCAGTAATGACTCCAGGAGGGCCTTTGGACCTTTCAACTGTGTTATTCAGGAATCGAATCATATTTATTGGGCAACCAGTCAATTCACAGGTTGCTCAAAGAGTTATATCACAGCTTATGACGCTGGCAGCTATTGATGAGGATGCAGATATTCTGGTGTGGTCATATTTTTACTTATTCTCTCTGCATTTTTGTATTTTTCCATCTGGTACATAGCACTTTAAATCCAGAATTTTGGAACCTGCTCGTGGTTTATAACTATGACCTATACCTTGTCAGTTGTATTTGAACTCCCCCGGTGGAAGCACCTATTCTGTCTTGGCAATTTATGACTGCATGTCTTGGGTAAAATTTCAAACTTTTTTGGGCTCATTCTTTTGTACTTATTACTGCATGCTATGACATATTGGTATGGATGAAAACCATGCTACATGCTTTATTCGAGCTTCTTATTTTGCAAGCACCAATTGGTCATTATTTCAGATAAAGCCAAAGGTTGGCACGGTTTGTTTTGGAGTAGCTGCAAGCCAAGCAGCACTTCTTCTTGCTGGTGGAGAGAAGGGGATGCGTTATGCAATGCCAAATGCACGTATTATGATAGGCCAACCTCATAGTGGATGTGGGGTATGATTTAACTTCTCGGTTTGCATTGCTAGTTGCTACATTTACAAAAGAAAAGTTTGTAAAAGGGGATGAGAAGATTTGAAATAGTTAGTACATATCTTGTTTGTCTCGTTTGAGGCAAGATTATTAGTATGACAGAAGTTTTTATTTGTGGAAAAGCTCTAACTCAAGCATTGAATCTTTTTTAGGTATTGAAAATTTGATTCTTGATTATGTGCTAATTTTTCAAAACTAATGGGACCTGGAGAAATTTACTTCTGGATCTTCTGGCACTCATTGGATCTAGAATAAAACCTTAAATTTGAAATATTGAATTGTGCTTGTTATAGATGATATTTTAGATGATACTGAACTTTCTCTCTAAACAATAATATTAAAAAGAGTGCAATGGAATTTTTGAAATAGGATAATATAATGTCTATAAATAATAGAAGTTTCAAATAGGTTTTGTTGCACTAGCTGAATAATTGTTGTTATATGCTTAGACAAGTATGTAGTGTTGATTTCTTTATGCAACTTAAAATGAAAAATGTGGATTTCTCAACTGTCAGTTGTGGGTACTTGGGGAATGATGATATGATCATTGCATATTCATGTTTATTTATTCCAATTAAAGCTTTGAATTATTATATTAAAAAATGAATGTTTTCTTGCTTCTCTTTTACTTGTGTGTCTATGAGACATTCGACAACAAGTGTGGCATTGCATCATAATTCAACATCTATATATAGTTAGCCAAAGGTGGTTGGTTCTGTAAAGATCATTACTTTGGTATCCAGATTTCTATTACGATCCAGATTCCTCTTTAATTTAGTTTGTTAGTTTTCCCTGTTGGTATTTAGTTTTACGTTTTGCTGTAGAAGATAAACTCATGTTCTTGTGACAAAATTAGGGATGCTATTATTTTTAAGTTCTTGAGCTAGGTGTAACAAACATGAAATATCATCTCATATACTTTTTGAAATTGATTGGGTCATGCATTCTTTCTTTTTGAAGGGTAATGTTCTAGACGTCATAAACCAAGTGGATGAAGCAGTTCAATTGCGCCATGTAATTTCCTTTCTTATATGTTACAATTTTATGAGTAAGCTACCAATAAATCAAGGGGATCAATCTCCGTTTATGCTTTCTAAATTTTCTTGGCTTTTGCTATGGTTAATACAGAATACTTACCGAGCACGGAAATACACTGCTAAACATTTAGCCTTTAATTAATTTGATCTTTTTTCCTTCATACTTACGTTGCAGAAAATTGACAAAATGTATGCGGCTTTCACCGGGCAACCTCTTGAACTAGTGCAAATATACACAGATAGGGACCGATACTTATCTGTTGCTGAGGTAATGTTGCTTTCTGGTTTTGTTAAGAACATGAGTTAGTGGTACACGGTGACAATACTTGCTGGAAACATTCGGTCTGATGCCTGTCCCTAATGGCGAATTCATGAATTTTTTTTTTTTTAAAGTGTCTGTCGACAGATTTATTAATTTTATTATGACAAGGGTGTCCAAAAAACAAAAAATTGGGTATCTAGGAGAAATTTTTTTTCGAGTTTTCTTATTTTCCAATCTCCAAAAGATTATCCGCCCCTTCCTGTCCCCTTCATTCATGCTTCTTACGAGTAGGACGGGAAGTTTCAAATTGGTTTATGCTTTTAAGGGCCTATATAGTGATATGTTCTGTGCTCAAAATGTCACGGCATATATAGATTTCAACAAATTGAAAGAAAATACTAACCGGTGTGGTGTCTCCCTATGTTTCTCTCACAGGCTATTGATTTTGGGCTCATTGATGGTGTCTTGGAAACAGAATATTGAACTCAGATTGGGATTAGCAAAGTCCTTGGCGATAGTAATCATGTTCCGAATTGGTGTTTATAAATTTAATTATTTAAAGTTATGATTGTCTTTGTCTCTAAAAGAGTAGTAAAAATGCTTTATTAAAAGAAATTATTCTCATGCTATTGAGACTTTGTTTCAAAAAATTTTTTTTTTTATGTTCTAATATTTATTTGGTTAAAAATTGATTAGTCAATAAAAAATGAGATCATTTTTTTTTTTTTTTTTAAAAAATAAAACTGTTTATAAATAGGATTATTTATAAGCTAGTAAACATAATTTTACTTAAGTTGAACTTTCACCATGAATTTTTAAGTTAGACTTAATTTGATCCAATCTTAAATATTATTATATTATTAAAAATATTTTTATTTAATTTTTTAAAAAAATATTTATATAATTCTAATCAAGTAAAATTTTGAATAATATATCTTAAGCTTAAATTTAATTTGGATCTGATCAAATATTATTATATTAATAAAAAGTAAATCTATTTAATTTTAATTAAAAAAATAATATATTAACATTAAAATCTTTTTGATATTTTAATTTTAATCTTTCTATTTTATATATTATTCAATAAAAATATTTTTATTATTTTAATAATAAATATTTATATATTAAATAATATTTTATTATTTTAATAATATTAAATATTATTATTAAAATATAAAAATTTTAGTTTTAATAATTTTAATAATAAATCATTTCAATATATTTTAATAATAAAATTTTTTTAATATTTTAATGTTACATAATATTATTTTAAAAACAAATTTTTAAAAAATTAATCAAAAAAATAATTTTCAACTCATTCAAACAAAAGAGTCTTTACTTTTTCAAAAAACATTTTCTCATTGTCGATATTCCATGTAACAAACAGAGCATGAGAGTTACATGAATTCTGTCAATATTTCAATGGCTGAGGGTTATCAAGGAAACCCTAATTCGAAATATCATCATATATGGGCAAGTTTTCTTTTTGCCCTACGAACCTCCATGACTGAAGGTTTCTTCTATAGCCACAATTTTTTCAAATTAACACTTTTCCATATACCAAATAGAAGCAGCTTTTCACCTGGATGTTGCTCTATAAACAATAATTACCTGATCTGGCTGTCGGAATAACATATAATAAAAGAGTTATTTTGTAATTAACAAACACGTGCATGATAATAATTTCTGTAGGTCAAGAATTCAGGCAACTAATTTCCGCAGGTCAAGAACTCAGACAGATGATTAAATCACTGCCCAGTTGTTTTGAGAGATGCTTTATTGTTATCTGGAAAATTATCAGCCATTTGAAATAAATCAGATCCAAGTACCCCAGACCGAACTTGAAACCGTGACATTTACTGTATACTATGACACAACTTGTCCAGGAAAATGAACGCCCGGTGCAGTGCCTCATGAACCTGTTGAAAGAATGAAGATTCAGTGCAAAATCACCAAAATGCAATTGTCATTTTCTTTTACATACTCAATTTACCAAAAACATTAGCAAGAACCTCTTACTAGTCCCAAGAAAACAACAATAATATATGGATTTTGAATAGCTCAGTTATCAGCTAAATAAATAGAATTTCAGCTCCTTCTTGAACATATCTCTTGAACATTCAAAAACATAAAGCATATTACATGAGAACAGAGAGAGAAGAAAACTTGAAACGTTTGAAGTGATTAAACTTAATTCTAGTTTGGGACACCATTTACATTTATCATTTACTAGAATAAACAGCCAGTGCAAGTGAAAAGAACAAATAACTTACCATAGTTTTGCCGCACCGTTGTGAATCTGTAAATAGCCTTAATTAGTAACCCATATTTCATGGACTTCAAAGACCCCATATGTCTGTTTTAAAACAAGAAGAAACATATTATTTGGTGTTAGAAGACAGATTTATTCCCACGAAAAAAGAAGGCCAAAAGTTATGCAATGACTGTAAAACTCAGCTCTTAACAAAGTAGAATCTATGCAACCACTATATCAGCACTCGAGATAAGACAGCAGTAGCTAAGTAATTAGTTCTAAGACCACTTATCCTGCATGGTAAAAACAGAAAATCCTTAAAAATCTAGAATCAACAATAAACTGAATGGACTTTTTACATCTTTCCTCAATGCTAATCTTTACTTTTCCAATCAAATCGTGAAATTAAGGAAAAGAGGAGGCTACACATGAAATATTCTTGCTCTGTGCAAAAATGGTAAAAATAATATCCACCATATCTGCATTTCTTCATTTATAATAATAAAAAAAATTGATATATAAAAGAAGATACAATTTAGAAAGTTGTAAATCTTTCGTCAGACAGAATCCCATAATAAGCATTATGGAGAACAAAACAACAAGGTATTTTCTCTGATTCTAAAGAATTTACATCAAGAGAATACTCACACAATCTCAGTATATCGAAGTCTCCATGCAGGGAAACCTAAGTGGCACCTGGCTGGTCCATATATTAATAAAAGATCAGGTTCTGGCCCTCCACTACCTAACAGAAAAGTAGATCAACTTCCAAAAGTCAAGTATTGACATGGTAAAGAAAACTAGTTGTAACAACCACCAAGTAGATCAGACATGCAACACAAACCAACAGTTTTGAGTGCCTCGGCCATTTGAGATTCAGTGAAGATTTGCTCTTCCTGAATTTTGTCAGTAGCACCTGATTTTAAGTACTTCTTAAAAAGTACATTAGCTGCTTTGGCCATTGTTTCTTTCCCATCAGAAAACGAAGCAAACTCCAGAGTCATATGTGTTTGGTCTAGTAGCACATTATTTTCATGAGCTTCCTGCACAAGATAGATCCAAGGTTTGCTAGTAGTTCAGCACCTTTGGAACATTCCATTTGTATCATTGTATGTCACAAAATAATCCAATAACTTTGCACAGAATTGGAGCTCAGGAAACATATGGTACATGGAATAGCTCCCTAAACTAAGTTTTCAGAAAGAAACCTAAGAGTACAAAAAGCAGTCAAGAACAAGACCAAATATAGAAGTCACAAATTTGTATCAGGTTTTTTATAGGAGGTTCAAGATTGTGCCAACCACTAAGTTGACCTTAGTACCATATAACAATTTTTTGTTGCATAGTACCATAAAGAACCTGTGAGTATCAATGATCAATTTGCTATTACACAACATGACAGTTTGTTTTTGGCAACTGATCAGCCATTTAGCCGATTTATATTGAGTAAATGATGTTAATAAGTCATGGTGAACTATGAAACAGATTAATTTGACCATGAGCAGAGAGGGTAGTACCTTAAATAATATTGCACCATCCAACTTTTCCAAGATGAAGTCCTTTGATTTCTTCAATATTCCTAGAACAACAAAATGGTACAAAAACACTATTATGTTAAATACAAAAACTGCGGATGCATCTTCACCTGATTAATCTAGCCAAGGTGAGAATCCAGAATTCTTACCTTCCCTATCATACAGGCAAACATATTTGATACCAACAGCTGCCAGCCATTGCAAAAGCTCAATAATGTTTGAAATTTGGTAAGCTTCTTCACTTTCTACCACAATAGCTAGATACCGGAGCTTGGCTACATGGAGGGATTTGTATCTCCCCAGTATTCCCCAAGAGATAAGATGGCTTTCAAGCGCATTAGCTATACCCAGTGTAAAGTGGCATAAGTTAATAATAACATGTAAGAGATGCCACAATAACCGAAGTAGAAGATTTCCAATCTGCACAAAACCTTAAACCCAAAATGAACATCTAATTCAATTCAGGAAAAATAAATGACAAAAAATTCATCACCACTTCAGCCATGATAATTTGACAGAATAATCATCTCTAATACACTTTAAAGTCCCTTGTTAAACACTAAATTCCACTAAAACCAGGAACATATTTGCTAAAATCTATCCAACAAAAGCAGTAAACAATTGATAACGGTTCTCAATTCAAAGAAAAAGTATTTATATTTAAATCCCAAAACTTGAGAGGTGGGATCCAGTAGGTCTAGATAACACTTGTAACCGATATTCCAATCCCATTCCAGGCTGCCGCGTCCTTTGTAAAAAAACCCATGTATGATTTTAGTATATAGATAATTTACTGAAATTTGAAGGGTGAAAAAAGCCCATCAAAAGTAATGCTAGTAAAAATAGAAAAGAAAAGAAACCAATATTACGTACTCGAGCGATCCAGCGATACAACATCCGCGTTTCCTTCTTGAAATCCATTAATCTTTGAAAAAAAAAAAAAGAAACCCATTAGTAATCAAAGAAAAAGCATATTGTTTGACAGGAATCGCTTAAGAAAACGTCCTAACATTTTAAACACAAGCAAGTTGGCGATAGCTCTCTTGGACTGGAATCGTAGCTTGAAGCAAAAGGGGTTCGAGAAATTCCAAAGAAGTTCAAGAGAAACAGGGAAAACCCAAATGCAGAAGCACAATCAACAGAGAAAAAGCGAACTTTTGGAGATTAAAGAGAATGGAAAAGGAACAAGTTATAAACGTAATTCAGTGAGCCAAAGCAAGAGAGAAGACGTCAGCTAGCCTGACCTATTAGTTGAAAGACTTAGAAAAGAGGAGTGAGAGAGAACTGAAAGACGTTTTTGTTGTGGTTTTGATTTTCCTTTTTTTTTTTTTTAAACGGGTTTCCCTGGTCTCTCATCGAGCATGTGTCCCATGTCCCGTGTCCCGTGTCCCGTGTCCCGTGATTGACGGAAGTCTAATGCTCTTTACAAGTACTCATTCCACTTAAAACGAAATTAAAAGGTGTAAATATAAAATAATTCTTGAAATTAAAATAAAATATTTTTTAAAATGCTAATGAGATTTTAGGTTAGTGATAAAAAAAATAAAAATTTGAGATTTTAGGTTTAAGTTTTATTTTGTGTGGTTTTAGTTATTAATTAATTATTTAATAATTGTAATTTGATTATGATATAATAATTGATTATTGAATTAAAATAATCTTTCAAAATTTTATCATTTTATTGTAATTAATTAAAATTTTAAATATTTATTTTTTTAATTGAGTTCTTATTAGACTAATAAAATTGATTAACCCTTAATATTTATTTTCATCAATTGAATGAAAATATATGCTTACAAATTTAATTATATAAAAATAAATATTTGAAGTCTCAAATTATTATAATAAAACAATAAAGGCATAGATAATTATTTAATTTTATTTAAAAAAATTTTATATATTTTTTAAATTCTTAATTTATTATTAAACTTTTACTTTTATATTAACTTAAATGAATATAAATTACACACATAAATTTTTTTAAATTCATAATTTTTAAATACCAATTTCAATATCATATCAATATCCATTGATCCAACCTACTCAACGACTTTTTTTATTTTTTTAAATATTTAAGCCAAAAAAAATCCATCTAAAAATATAGTTTATTATGTTATTTTTGTCCTAAATATTTGTATTTCCTTCCCTATAATTATTTATTTTATTGTAATATATTATTTATGAATTAGTTTATTTATCTATGAATTGATAGACTCTATTTTAAGTTTATATAATTAAATTTAAGTTTCATACATTGTGAGGTGATGATTCAATGTATAATAATCTTTTTGTAGTTATAATTAAAAATTTGATGATTTATTTTGGCCAGAAAAATCTTGAAAATTTAAGAATGAACTATTCTTATGAAAATTTGTTAATATCATTTTGTTTAAAAATAAATTTTTTTTTGAAAATTTAACTATTGATATGAAATTCAACTATCCTAATTCCCAGTCACAAATGCAAACAAAAATAAATAAAAAAGAAAAAAAAAACTCATCAATAAAAATATTATTCTAGAAAAGTTTTAAAAACACATATTTATCATGAAATTTTATAAAATTTGTTATTGTTAAAAAAAAAAGATCATGCCTTGGTTTGAGCATTCTTGATAGGCATTATTAGGGTTCAGCAATATTAGGGTTTCGCCTTTCCATATATATTAAATACTGGCCATGCATAGAAAACCAAATTGAGACTCATAATTGGTTAATTAATAAATGATACAAAAAAAAAACATTTTTCTCTAATATTTATTATTTTTAATAAAATATTTATGCAATACCTCAATTATCACTCTTTGCTAGATTCATTATTTAAATTTAGCATCTACGATTGGATAAGTGATTATTAATTATACATCTCATTAATAAATAATAATTAGTGATGGCAATAGATTGAGTCAGGACGGTTTTTGCTCGTCCCAAACTCAACTTGACTTTAAATATATAAAATCTAAACTCGATTCAATCTGATAATTTTTTTTATTTTTATACCTGAACTCTTCTCGATATTATATAAAATTATATTCGACTCGATTTAATTTGAAATTAATAAAATATTATTTTTTAAATATAAAATATTATTTGTTAATATAAAATATAAAATTAAATATATATAAAAATATAAAATTAAATAAATAATAAAAAAATAATTTATATATATTAGATCGGGTAGGGCAAAACCTGACCTTGACCAGACTTCGAATTTTTTTTATATTACCCAATTCAATATCCGATTTAAAAAAAAAATTTGACCCTAAAAAATCAAGCCGGAACCAACCAATTTTAGATTAAATTACCTTCTCTAATAATAATAAAAAAAAAAATTGACACTGGTAATTAATAATACTTGAGCATAAATATCAACTTGATCATTTGCTTTTCTTTTTTATTTTCTTTTACCCATGGCCTAAAACCTCCGATTAATATTTTTCATTTTATTTTTAAAATCTAATTTCCCATGCACAACAATGACAATAAAAATAAATTGAAAATCTTAACAAGTGATATTGATCAAAAAGTTAATTAATTAAATCTTTTATGTTGGCCATTAATTTTACAAAGTTTTTTTTTTTTCGAGAAGTCAATTACATAATTAATTAAATTAAAATATGTTTAATAAATTAATTGAGTTTACGCATCCCAATTGCATTCAAGCGTTGCAATTGAAGATTATTGACTAATTTTAGATATTTTCTTCAGTTATACCTCTATGAACATGAAAAATCATTAACACCAATTCATCTAATTATAGTAAAGCAATAATTAACTTCAATTAATAAAGTCACTATGTCCGAGATGTTCTTGTTTTTCTTATATATCTATCTATCTATTTATTTTTATACTCTTTTTAAGACAAATTTTCAATTTTTTTTCTTCAAATAAAACTATTCTAGAAAAAAAAAAAAACTTGGCATGGATTATTCTTACAATTATAGTTTCAAACCTATAAAACAGATTGTTGAGTAAACAATGTTACCGAGACATTTGGTTTTGTTTCATCTTTAAACACGCATTTTGGACGCCGGTGTCGGGTATATACAACTGTCAAATAGAAACTTACTGATAAATTGGGTTTGATGATAAAGAAAAGCAAAATTTAAATCAGAGATTTTTTTTTTTTTGGTCAAAGATAAAATTGGAGATTAGTAATAGAAATTTAAATTCTTATCTTAAAAAATATTTATTATATATATTTTTAGTATAAAATTATTATTACGACTATTTTTGAAATTATTTTTTTAAATCACTTGAATAATTAATGCCCACAATATTTGAACCAATAATACAAAAATTAATGATTGAGTCTCACAAAATGTTTATCTATATATTATAAATAAATTGTTTCACTGGATTTTGTGTGCATTTTCACTCGTGGCATTAATTTAATTTATTTAAAATAAAGTAACAATAACAATATAAAATTTGAGATATTTATATTTTCTACTTTCTTAGTACAAATGCAATAGGAAAAAAACTACCCACTCTCATCACATAACTTTTTTTTTTATTTAAAAAAAAAAACAGAAAATTTTTATTTTTATTAAAATCAAAAATTTTTTCGTGAATGTGCCACAATCTAATTGGAGTAAACGCCGAAATGATAGTGTTTGAGTGAATCGGATGCAGGTGATAGTGTCCGGATTACAGCAAAACCACGCGCGAGGAACTTAACCCTAGGCAGGCAGCCACAATGATCAGATAACTAACAAAAAGAATTTGAGTAGTCTTTTTCTTAACGAGAAGAACTCTAATCCCAATCAAATTCTTTATAACTTCTCCCCTATTTCTCTCCCACATTTCTACATTTTCATTTTCTTAATTTCAAACACTATCAGTCTTTCAAAAATCTCCATTCTTTCTGTTTGTGAACCGTGTGACCTAGTTATAATTATGAACGAAGAACAGGAAATCAACAAAAAGAGAAAGAGTAATTGTCAAGAATATCAAGTTACGAAAAGGTTTGAGGAATTCGATGAAGAAGACAACGATTTGCTGGCATTATCTTTGTCATATGGTTCAAAGACGACGACCAATAAGGCACTTCCTCCGACTCCACCAGCGACGCTTCCACAGCAACAAGAACAACCCCAACAAATAGTTTCCCAATCTTTGTCAATGCAAACATTGCTTTCCCAACCCCCGACTCAATTCCCTCTCCAGTTATCCGCCTCCCATCCTCTTTACAGCGTTCCTTTTGTCTCCGGAGCCTCGTCTTCTGCCACTCTTGTGTACCCCCAAGAGCCTGTCTCGTCATCGTCTTTGTCGGTTGTCCCTGGCACAGGCACTGGCACTGGCCCTGGTCCTTCACGCCCTATACGTGTTCGGAGGAACCCTACACAGGCCCCACGAGAAGGGAAAAGCGAGACGGTCACTCAACCGTTTCCATGGGCCACAACCCATCGAGCCACCGTTCATAGCGTTAACTATTTGTTGTCAAAACAAATATTTACAATCACTGGTGATGTTCAATGCAAGAGATGTGAGAGACAGTACGAGATTGCTTATGATTTGAAAGGCAAGTTCGCTGAAATTGGGACTTTTATAGCGGAGAAAAAGAATGCCATGCATGACAGGGCTCCACCTGTTTGGATGAATCCAGTGCTACCCAAATGCAAGTTTTGTGATCAGGAAAACAGTGTCAAGCCAGTGATTTCTGACAAGAAGAAATCAATCAACTGGCTCTTTTTGCTTCTCGGACAAATGCTGGGATGCTGTACTCTTGAGCAGTTGAAGTATTTTTGCAAGCACACCAAAAACCATCGTACTGGTGCCAAAGATCGCGTTCTTTACCTGACTTATCTTGGTCTTTGCAAGCAACTAGATCCCAATGGCCCTTTTAACAGATAAGCTTGATCATCTGAGTATCAGCATTCATGATTTGATTGATTTCAGGAGGATGTAAATTGCGGTAGCTTTCGGTGACTTTAGGACAGTTTAACTTGGTACAATCCTGTGTTTAGGATCTAGGCAGTTTTGGGTTTTAGCAATTTACGTATCTTATCATAACTATTTGTGCTGCTTATACATAAACTACAGTACTGTTTTATTATTGGCAAAAGTTTTTTTTTTTTTTTTAGTGTATGTGAATGGTAACTGATAGATGTTTTTCCTGTTCCATTAATGCTGGTATATATGGCAAGACAAGTGTTTATGCCATATCTTTTACCTTAAAATTCTTCCAGCATGTTTCCTTAAGTGGTTTGGTTCATAAATGATGCTGCATGATCCATTAACCTGCCAAAAAATTGTCAGTATTTACAACCAAATTACTAACAATGTAGGTCTCCATATATATATATATATTATGCAGATTTTCATTATATACTATATATGTTTGTAGCTCTGTGCATGTTCACTTGCCTGGTAAGCATGAAGCTTTAACATCGTAGTACTACTATTAGTAGTGTTCCTTTTTCCCTTATTATCCGTTTGTTTTTTGATTGAGTGGACATGTGTCAAACAGTAACAAATTAAGGAGTTGGGTGAATGAAAATGAGCATTATATAGTAACGTTTTAGATTTTTTTCTGAGGGGCAATCCTCCTGTGTTCCTAATTCACAGATGCAACACATAAAGAGGAAAGTGTTTGTTCAAATCACACATCTGATTAACTGTGCTGGATTAGTTGTTTTTCCTTTCTGTATAAATTCATTAGCCAATTGTATACTACTTATCTTGTTAATGCTATCTCATTTCTATTGCGTGATTTTGGGGCACTGGGTTTGTGTTGTGTTTCTTGAGGGACCCTCTTTGTCTTTGATACTGGCCAATGATCATCATTCATCATGTATAATGATCATGTTGGAATGTACCAGACACTGCTTCTTGGAGTTGGAAGTACGAACTCAGTTTTGTGGTCTTACTTTCTATATATAAATAGTGGCAGCCATTTTTGATCCAGAGTTCCAAAAGAGTTTTCCAGTCTCTAAGGCTGTGTGGCTTCCAGATCCCACTGATATCTTTGCTATTAAAAGGCAAAGAAACAAAAAAGTGGGCGGGAAGCACTTGATTATTGCAGATATACTTTAGCATCTCTTTGAAAAAAAGAAGACAATCACCTCTTTAGGGCTTTGATCAATCTCTTTAGCCTGGAAAAGAAACCAAGCATGTCTAACAATGATCAAATACCTATGGCTTCCAAAAGAAAGGGAAAACCACTTCGTTTCAGACGGTATATATATCCTAATCGTAAGTGCATGCACTAATAAAAGTAGAGTACTTTTGCACATGATATCTACAGGCATCTCAAAATCCGAAGAAATCATGTCCTGTAGAATTAGAGATGGATAGATTCCTCGCTTTGTCCAACCATGCTGCGTGCATGCATGATTAGCTAGCACTGGTTAGAATGTTCTCTCAAAAGATGTAACACGTGCTTATGTAAAGAGATATCTAATTTGGGATTTGTTCCAATTTGAAAGTGGGAGATAATGATCTGGGTATAGATAATACAAATTTTAAAAATAAAAATACTTGATTCAATAATGATATATATCTTTTTACTCAAAGTGATAAAATAGTGAAATTGTGGTAAAAAAATTATTAATTTTAAAAATAAAATATGCAATCTCTTTATTCAAAAAGCACAATTCAAATTTACTTATTTAAAATTTTTTTTAAAAAAATATTTGTATTATTTGGATAACTAACTTTTAGACTGTTTATCTTTTTTTTTTAATTATATTTAATATAGTTTTTATCCCTGCAGTGTACGGAATTTTTATATTGATAATAATATTTAATTTAATTATTTATTATTTTGGTAGAATTTGTGTTTATTTAAATGTTTATTTTTTTATCATTAAATGTTTGTCTTGTTTTCTCTTTGTTTTTCATTTTTTATTAAATGTATTTTTGGATAAATATATATTTAATGTTAAAATTTTTGGTTGGGTTTTTAATGAAATTAATTGTCAGAATGACCATCAGGGATAGTTGCCATTTGAAATAGCAATTTTATTTATGAACTGATTCTCACCAAGAAAATGTTCGATTATTGGAACTCTGAATGTAAACCTGAAGTTCCATGGCTTATCTGGAGGAGATGGACAGCTTCAATTCGGTTTTAATTGTGACAGGGTCGGGTTCTTGATTGTATTGAAGTTATTAGAGATTTAAGCAACCATGAATATTTATTTTCTCAAATTTTAATTCGGTGACTTTCTGGATTAGATTGATTTCCGTATGCTTTTATAATTAAGGCCCAATAAGAATAAAATCCGTTTTGCTTTAGAAACGCCCATTTCTTGAGGAATTTTGTAGGCCCAATATTTACTAGGCCTTGAATGAGGGGAAGTTACCCAAATTTGGCAAGTTGATCTCTTGGCAATCATGGTCTTTGGATCTGTTTTCTTGGACAATAATTGGGAACCCAACAAATATTTCGGAGGTAAAATGGCGTTCTGATGATCATAACACTGTTGGGTGGGAGACTGAAAAAGAAGGTTGAAAATGGAGAAGCAAAGGAAAGATGGGAAGGCAGAGCCAGTAGTCATAGGGGGCATGGTTTTGGACATTCAAGCCACTTCTTCAATTCCTCCTCATCCAAGAACCACTTGTCCTGGCAAGGTCTCTTTATCGTCTCACCTTTCTTTGTTTTTTTTTCCCTTTCTTTTTTGGGTATTTGAAGTAGGGAATATTTTGTTTAGATACATTATGTACGAGGAGGCGTGGCAAGGAACATTGCCGAGTGCATGTCGAATCTTGGAGCTGAGCCTTTTATGATTAGTGCTTTGGGATTTGACATGGCAGGTCATTTGCTTTGACCTTTCTCTAATGCAGCATCTTGACAACCTATGACTTTTTAGTAAGGCATGCTTATTTTGGTTTACTAGGAATAAGTTTGTAACTATCCAACCTGATGATCCTGAATATGTGAAATTTTTAATGTGAATTGATGTTAATTATCTGAATTTCATGCAATCTTACGTTTGGCCAACACCCAAAATAATTTTTCTTTGATTTATTATTATAATTAGGAAAATTGTTGTTGGAGCATTGGAAATCTGCAAAGCTACCTACAGAAGGTCAGCCCTTTCCTATTGAAAATCTTGAGTTCTTGATTTATGATGGCCATTGTTAAAGTGATAGTGCTGATATTACATAATCATCTTAATCCTGTTGTTGTAATAAATGCTTACAGTCTGTTTGATGGAGCTTTTTCTATTTTGTGAAGAAGCAGTGGTGATTTGATAAGCCACTTTAGTTGGGTTTCTTGTGACATCTTACAAGTTTTATCTTAGGGCTTCCTCTGGGCAATCAAACAGAAACGTTAATAAAATGTTTAATATATTCAACTGTTTTATTCTGTTTCAGGATGTATCAAAAAGCCTGCTTTTATTCTTACATGATTTTGTTTTCAAGCAGGCATTAGAAGGCACCAGGATATTAAGACTCCTACTGTCTGTCATATCCTTGATGCTACTGGAGAGGTGGCGGCTGGTGTTGCCAGTGTGGAAGCAGTTGTAAGTAGTGTTTGAAGAAATTTTTTTGTCTTATATGTGACTAAAAGTAGTAACTTGTATAAGTTTGAGATGTACTGTTATTATGACTTACTGCAGGAAATGTTTCTCACACCTGAGTGGATTCAACAATTCAAGCATAAGATACATTCTGCCCCTATATTGATGGTTGATGCAAATTTGAGTCCTCCTGCTTTAGAAGCTTCATGCCAAAGTACTTTTAAAACATCACTTCAGATTTTTCTTTTCTCTCCCTCTGGGGTTGTCTTATGCTTTCTGCAAACTATTAGAGCTTCTATTCATCTCAATTTTATTTTGTTTGTTCTCAAATATTTTCTTATTGGTTTTTCCTGCAGTAGCAGCAGAGTCAAATGTTCCAGTGTGGTTTGAGCCTGTATCAATTGCAAAATCTAAAAGAATTGCTCCAGTTGTCAAGTATGTGAGTGTGCTCAGTTTTCGCACTTTTATATTAATCCTTGATACTTTGTGTAAGTTACAACTGTACTACCTTGAGCGCTTTCCTTCCAGTTCTCTTTCTCTTCCTATCTATTGGCTACTAATTTAGATGTAAGGTTTTCTGCAGGTAACTTTTGCTTCACCGAATGAAGATGAATTAATTGCCATGGCAAATGCTTTGTCTTCTGACAATATGTTTCGTCCAATTGAAAGGAATAACTGTTCTATGAATACTTTGTTCCAGATGCTAAAACCAGCAATCTGGCTTTTGCTTGAGAAGGGTGTCAAAATTCTTGTTGTGACTATCGGTTCAGATGGAGTACTTTTATGCTCTAAAGGGGAACCAAGCTCCTGGAGCATTGGTCTAGAGAAGACAAAGCGACTTGGACTCAGTGGACGGTTGTTTGAAACTATGACATCAAGCCATCCTTCAAATTGGTATTCTGATGTTAATGTTCTTGAGAGAAGCCCATATTTTTTGGCTGTGCATTTTCCTGCACTCCCTGCCTCAGTAGTAAGGCTTACAGGAGCTGGTGATTGCTTGGTTGGTGGAATGCTAGCTTCTCTTTGTGCAGGTTTAGATGTGATGCAGAGTGCGGCAATTGGTATTGTTGCAGCTAAAGCTTCTGTTGAGGTGGACAGCAATGTACCTTCTCAATTTTGTTTGGCGACAATTGCTGGTATATATCCTTGATTTCAAACTGTCGCTGATTTGTGTATCGTTTAAGCATGAATTTGCAACTTTGATATCATATGAATGATGTGGAAGTAGTCATTAAATGGCAATTTCATTATGCAGGTGATGCCAGGATGGTATATTCAGCTGCCAAAGTTTTGCCAAATCAATCTAAGCTATAATGCATAAGTGAGGCAAGTTTGGGTAGACATCCCAATTTAGAGCCATATGGTTGCATCTTTTACTGTTGTACACAAAAAAACTTATATTTTGTTGGCATAATTTTTTTTTTTTTTTGTTCGAAAGAAAAGGGAGAATTTGAATCCCAAATTTATTGATATAATTGCATCCAGTTTTCACCAAATATAATTAAATATGAATTTAACTGTTACAAAAGTTTGAAGGGATATGATGAAAAAACTGAGGCTATGGGTAATTGGGCCATTTTGCCCATTAAAAGAAAAGGAAAGAGGATAAAAGACCCTCTTAGTCTTGGCCTATCGGGGTTTAAGGCAACGGGTGCTAGCCCGTGCACGGTGCACCAACGTAAATGCTAGGTTTAGTTGCCAACTTCCTCTCTGAACCACGTTGTCGGTTGAAGACTTCGAAGCCGATTTCCTTCCGTTGTTTACGTGAATGAGGTCGTTGAGGGATGGTTTAATATTCCACGTCCAAGCCATAAAAGCTGGCTTTACACCACCGATTCTCACGTTCAATCAACTCATTCATCTCTACTCCAAACACCGCGGTATCCATGAAGCTCAAAAACTGTTCGATGAAATGCCCGAACGAAACGTTTTCTCTTGGAATACAATCATCTCCGCCTACATAAAATCCCAAAACCTAACAAAAGCGCGTGTTTTATTCGACGATGCACCACGGAAAGACTTGGTCACTTACAATTCAATGTTGTCTGGTTATGTAAGTGCCGATGGGTATGAAACTCACGCGCTGGAATTATTTTACGACATGCGAACGGCACAAGATGTTAAGATTAAAATCGACGAATTTACTGTAACCACAATTCTAAATTTGAGTGCGAAGTTGACTAAATTGAGTTATGGTGCTCAGTTACATTGTTTTATGGTGAAAACAGGGAATGATAAAACTGGATTTGCTGTGAGTTCTCTCATTGACATGTATTCTAAATGTGGGTGTTTTAAAGAAGCGTTTCAAGTTTATAAAGGTGGTGGTGGATTGGTTGATTTGGTTTCGAAGAATGCAATGATGGCAGCATTTTGTAAACAAGGTGAGATGGAAATGGCTTTGGAACTCTTTTGGAAAGAGCCTGAGTTGAATGATGCTGTATCTTGGAATACTTTGATTTCAGGTTATCAACAACACGGCTATTTGGAAGAGTCACTGAAGCTGTTTGTTATGATGGGAGAAAATGAGTTTAGATGGAATGAGCATACTTTTACAACTGTTCTAAGTGCTTGCTCCACATTGAAGAATTTGAAAGCTGGAAAGGAAGTTCATGGGTGGGTTTTGAAGAATGGTTTGAGTTTGAATCCTTTTGTAAGTAGTGGCATTGTTGATGTTTATTGCAAGTGTGGTAAAATGAAGTATGCAGAGTTAATGTATTTGGGTAGTGGGAGAAGCAACTCCTTTTCAGTTACTTCAATGATCGTGGGCTATTCATCTCAAGGTAATATGGTAGAAGCGCGGAGGCTTTTTGATTCGTTGGCTGAGAAGAATTCTGTTGTGTGGACGGCATTATTTTCTGGTTATCTCAAATCACAGAATTGTGATGCTGTGTTTCAACTCTTGAGTGAGTTTTGGGATAAGGAAGCAACTATTCCTGATGGTTTGATACTTATGAATGTGCTTGGTGCTTGTGCCTTACAAGCGACTCTGGATCCAGGAAAGCAGACTCATGGTTATATGCTGAGAGTGGGAATTGAAATGGATGAGATGTTGTTTAGTGCCATGATAGATATGTACTCAAAATGTGGGAATATAGCATATGCAGAAAAGATTTTTCAAAAGGTTAATGTTAAGGATTCAGTCATTTATAATGTAATGATGGCTGGCTATGCTCACCATGGACATGAAAGTAAAGTTTTTCAGCTGTTTGAGGAGATGGTGCAGCAAGGAATCAAGCCTGATGTTGTTACCTTTGTTGCACTTCTATCAGCTTGCCGTCACTGTGGTTTAGTAGAACTGGGGGAAAAATACTTTAATTCCATGACAGAATTTTATAAGATGTTGCCTGAGATTGACCACTATGCTTGTATGATTGATCTGTATGGGAGGGCTAACCAATTAGAAAAAGCTGTGGCATTTATGAAAGTTATTCCCATAGAACATGATGCTGCTATTATGGGGGCATTTCTGAATGCTTGTAGATTAAATAAAAATGCAGAATTGGCCAGAGAAGCAGAAGAGAAACTACTAAGAATTGAAGGAGATAATGGAGCTCGGTATGTGCAGTTGGCCAATATTTATGCTGCAGAAGGAAACTGGGCAGAGATGAGGAGGATAAGGAAGGAGATGAGAGGGAAGGTCAAGAAGTTTGCTGGTTGCAGTTGGGTATTTGTGGAAAATGAAGTTAATACTTTTATCTCCGGTGATAGATCCCACTCAAAAGCAGAGGCTATTTTTGCAACATTAGACTGCTTGACCAGAGAACTACATGAAACTGGCGAGGCATTCCTTTGAGAAGACTATGTTCTACGGTCCAACATGTCATTGCAAAAGTCAGATTATTTGGAGTCAGAAATCCAGGGTGACATCTGGGTTTTCATGCCCATTCAGTGCCATGGATATGCAGGAGGTATGCTGTAGTTCCATTATAGTGAGCAGGGTGTCCTTATACGTCCTATTAACTTATTGTACAATAACAAGTCTTCATTTCTCTCTCTTTTATTATGTTTTACGTGTAGATTATTAAACGCAATCCTATAAACACATTTTGCATCGTTTGGTGTCTTCCTCACACAACAGTACTACAACTTCATCCTTTTTCCTTGAAAAACATGTCCATTGGTAATAAATTTTCAGCCAAATTATTGGCACAATTATCATCCTTTCCCGTTGTCTTTCTTATCTTCTTGTTTTGCTTGCTTTTCCTTCCAACTCAAGGTTGCTTTGGTATTTTATTTTGCTTCCAACTCGGGCATATACTACTTTTGTGCTCACCCCCTAACAAATATCTTACATATAATGTAGAAGCCTACTTCAGCCTTTGGAAGCACATGGAATGCTTCATTGTTAATATTTTTATCTTGGCCTAGGAAATCAAACTGGAACTTCTGTTGTTTCTTTGTTTTCATACTGAAAAAGCTAGCCTCATTTGTTGTTATTTTTCTATTCGAAGGTGCATGTGACAACTTTATTAGTCTTCTGGAGCTCAATGATAGAAGCAAGGATTACTGAGGAAGTCATGATACGTTCAATTTGGCCCCAGTGCCCCATTCTGGTATGCATTCATTATCTTATTTCTTCACAAGGTATACACACCATAAATGCCATCTTTTTCTGACCCACTTCTGTATGTTTCACATATAATCTAATCTGTCTGTCAATGATCGTATGAAACAGTGGAGAAGACCAGTTATTAAACAGCAAAGCAATTGAAACCGAAGCTGAGAGTGCAAACGTATGAAATTTTTGGAAGGATGCCATCGACCCCAAAGATGTCTAATGCTACCACTACTGCCTGCAATGGCTTTCCCTTACAAAGCAGCATGATTCCCAGCTGCTTTGATTGCTCTCCTGGCCGGGATCATACTTATACCTTTGGCATAATTCCCATCTTCAGAAAGAGCACAAACAGCATATTGATCTTCAATGCATGCCTTTCCAATTTTTCTTCAAAATTTGTTAAACCATAAAAGTATAATCATCATTAGTTATAAGGAAATTGTTGGATTCAGGATTTCTATTAAGTTTTGCCTATTAATTTAGCAGCGCATATTGTACATTAGTATGCTTGGAATTGTTGGGCCTGAAGCAGTAAATACAACAATACAAAAGTAATATATCACAATAAACTTACAGTAATAGACAATAATCAATAATAAAAAATATAGAAAAAATAAAGCAGATCAAGATTTACCTGAAAAATCCTATAGTATAGAGGAAAAAATCAAGAACCAGCAGAAAAATTTTATTATTAAATAATGAATATATAAAGTTCTTCTATAGCTAAAACTAGAGAGAGAGAATTAGAGAAATTTTACCAAATAAATGACTTAATAAATACATACTGAATTTGCTCCTAGAGAGCTTTAAATTCAATATTCACCGTTCAGAATGTAGAACTCTGAATCATAAACTTGCTGATAAAATTTTAGCTCAATCGGATTACGAATCGACTTTCGTTCAACTAACTACCCATTTTTTCTTTTATCTCTATTTTTTTGGCTTTTCTTCTTTCTTTTCTTGGTTTGCGAGACTACCTTAAAACAACCTCACCTTTTTTTATTAAGTAGCTAAAGCTCTGTGTAAAAAGAAAAACTAAGGCCTATGGCCTTTGATTGGTTCAAAACCAATTACATGGGGCTGGATCCCATTTTCCTAACAATGTCCCCCTTCAGCCCCATGTAATTGATTTTGAATCAATCAAAGGCCATAGCCCTTGGGTTTTTTTTTTTACATAGGGCCCTAGCTATTTAATAAAAAGTGGTGGGGCTGTTTTAAGGTGGTGTCGCAAACCAAAAAAAGAAAAAAAAAAGCCAAAAAAATAGAGAGAATAGGGAAAAGGGAGAGTTGGTTGAATAGAAGTCAGTCCATAGTTCGATTGAGTTGAAATTTTATCAACATGTTTATGATTAGAGTTTTACATTTGACACGGTGAAGATCAGTTTGAAGCTCTCTAAGAACAAATCTAGTGTGTATTTGTTGCATCACCTATTTTGTGAGATTTCTCAAATTGTCTCTTTTTAATTGTTGATTAGCTTTAGTTTTAGCTAGAAAAGAACTTTGTATATCCGTTATTTGATAGTAGAGTTTTTTCTGATGGTCCATGATTTTTTCCTCTACACTGAAGGATTTTTCATGTAAATCTTGCCATGCTCTATTTTTTCTGTATTTTTTATTGTTGATTGTTGTCATTGCTATAGGTTTATTGTGATATATTATTTATGTGTTATTGTCTTTATTGCTTCAAGCCTAACAAGTGATATCAAAGCTTATTAAGAAAATGAGATCTAGTCTCATGTAATTGGTTTTTGACTAATCAAAGGCCATGGACCTTGGTCATTTTTTTTATTAAGTAGCTAGGGTTCTGTGTAAAAAAAAAATACAAAAGCCCATGGCCTTTGATTGGTCCAAAACCAATTACATGGGGTTGGATCCCATTTTCTTAACAATCTCCCCCTCCAGCCCCATGTAATTGGTTTTGGACTAATCAAAGGCCATGGCCGCTGGTCTTTTTTTTTACATAAACCCCTAGCTACTTAATAAAAAGAGGTGTGACTGTTTTAAGGTGGTGTCACAAACCAATAAAAGAAAGAAGAAAAGCAAACAAATAGAGAAAATAGGGAGAATAAAGAGTTAGTTGAATGAAAGTCGGTCCGTAATCCGATTGAACTAAAATTTTATCAGTAGTTTACGATTATAGTTTTACATTTTGAACGGTGAAGATCAGGTGTGAAGCTCTCTAGGAACAAATCCAGTGTATATTTGTTGAGTCATCTATTTGGTGAGATTTCTCAAATTATCTCTTTTTAGTTATTAATTAGCTTTTATTTTAACTAGAGAAGAACTTTGTATATCTATTATTTAATAGTGAAGTTTTTTCTGATGGTCTGTGATTTTTTCCTCTACACTAGAAGGTTTTTCACATAAATTTTGACGTGCTTTATTTTTCTTACATTTTTTCTTGTTGATTGTTGTCTATTGCTGTAAGTTTATTACGATATATTACTTTTGTGTTATTGTGTTTATTGCTTCAAGTCCAACAAGTGGTGTCAAAGCTTGTTAAACAAATAGAGTTTAGCTTCATGTAATTGGTTTTGGACCAATCAAAGGTCATAGACCTTGGTCTTTCTTTTTATTAAGTAGTTAGGGTTCTGTGTAAAAAGAAATACCAAGGCCCATGACTTTTAATTGGTCCAAAATCAATTACATGGGGCTAGACCTTATTTTCCTAACAATTTTTCCCTTCAGCCCCATGTAATTGATTTTGGACCAATCAAAGGCCATAGAGCTTGATCTTTTTTTTTACACAGAGCCTTAGTTATTCGTTAAAAAAAGGTGAAATTATTTTAAGGTGGTATCAGAACTTGTTAAAAAAATGGGATCAAGTCCTATGTAATTGGTTTTTAGCTAATCAAAGGCCATGGGCCTTGGTCTTTCTTTTTATTAAATAGCTAGAGCTCTATGTAAAAAGAAAGACCATGGCCCATGGCCTTTGATTGGTCCAAAATTAATTACATATGTGCCAGTCTCTTGTGCACAAGTTTACTGAAGCATCATCCTCAATTATATTTACCTGATTATCATTTAATTACATTCATGTCTTATACATTGTGTAGCATAGTTTTTTTCTTGTAACTACCATAAATCCTTTAAGAAGCTTTTACTGTCTATTTTTTTGTCGACTCTTATATCTTTTCTTATCAAGGACATTAATAGCAAGTAAGTTTATTATCATATTCAGAATATGTTTGACATCCCTTAAAGTCAACATGCAGCCTATACTAGTTTGTATAATAATATTACTAATCTCAACAATCTACGACACACTCATATTTCTCATCTTGATGTAACTCAAGTCTCTTACTTTGTAAGTTGTAACAACTATTTATTAGGAACACAATAATATGTTGCTTTTGTGTTAACTATCAACTTAATGCTGAGATCACCAACATGATTACAATCACCATATGTACAAATCAAAATAACTGAATCACTATATAAATTTATTGCTGTAACATTGCCATCATCTGAACTCTTGCCTTTCTCATCTTTCAGCTCTTGCTTCAAGATTTTACAGTGTCATTTTATATGACCTGCTTTACCATAATGAAAACACTTCACTTTATCTCTAAACTTGGATCTATGTTTAGACTTACTATGTCATTTTTGAATTTTGACCTCTGTCGATGTTTCTATCCTGTTCTCTGTGATCAGAACTTGATTATCAAGGTCTACATCTTTTCACCTTGCATCTTCATTAAGTATACTGTCTTTTACTATCTTCAATGTGACCTTATAATTAAGAGTTGAAATAAAAATAATCACAACTAGAGTATTTCAGCTATCTGGTAATAAACCTATAAAAAATAATGTTTTCATTTCATCATCCATCTTAAGCTCCATTGTAGTCATTTGATTAAATATATATTGAAAATCAAGTGTTCTGTAATAGATCGTCCATCATTGTATTGTAAAGTTGTAAGCTTTTTAATAAGTATAACTTTATTCATACTTATTTTTCTCTCATACAATACTGTTAATTTTTTTCAAATAATGTGGGCATCTGCCTTTTGTTTTACATTATGAAACACACTGATATCAACTTATTTTTTGATTATAGCAAGTGTCTTTCTATCTAACTTTTTTTAGTTTTCATCTTTCATATCTATTGGTTTAGTCAAATAATGTGGATATTTACCTTCTGCGTCACATGATGGAACATGTTGATATCAACTCGTTTTTTGATTATAGCTAGCGTCTTTTTACCTAACTTCTTTTAGTTACCCAATATCGGCTCATACAAATCTTTACAGTATAAATGACCTTTCATCATAGGCTTCCATGGAACCTATATCACCATTCATGATCTCAAATAGAATTTATGTCTGTCTTGCCTTGGGCTACTAATCTTTGCAGTATAAATAATCTTCTATCATAGGCTTTCATAGAACCTATATCATCATTCATGATCTCAAATGAAATTTACTTCTGTCTTATCTTAGGTTGCTTCTGTATTGATATCTTAAAATAACTCTCAATCTGATACTACTTGTTGGAGAGATAAATCACATTTGAAGCCTATGTGAGCACATCAGAGAGTCTATACATACATGTTAGATATCACTTGAGTAAAAAAACTTAAACTATTATGTTCTTGAATCTTTCATGCATATATAAGATATCCCATTCAGATTTTCTAATTATATGGATTCTTTACTCACATATGAATCATATTCTAACAGGAATGAGATGAAATCATAATCTCCATTGTCTTATTATGTAAAATATTTCATTCATGAAGAAAAAGTTTTTTTTTTTTTATTATTATCATAGGATAATAAATTTTAAGCTTCAGATTAAACTTCTCAAGTGAAATATTAATTCTTGACTTAAAAAAAAATGCTCATACTCAAATATTTTATCCAAAAAATTAAAAATTACCTCATTTAGAATGTCACAAGTTTTAACGAAAGACCTACTTTAGATTTATAAATAGCTGATCAAAAGAAATTATTGGAAGCGGAATTGGAACTCATGCTTTACAAAGAAGTATTTTATCCTTGATGAATCAACCAATCCGTCGCAAAAGATTGATACTTTAAACAACGGTCAGGAGACGGGTTTTTACATTTTAACTCCCAAATCCCGTTTAACACACAACGGCAGCGGAGCGTCGTGAGTTTATTTTAAAAAATAAGAATAAATTTCTTATTAAGGTTGGTAATCTAATTGGTACCGTCAAATTTTGATTCAATTTGATTTTATAGATTTAAATTTTTTTTTTTAAATTATTGAGTGTTCTTAACAAAAGTTGGAATCAAATTTGATGAAAACCCGCTTTGATATATATATATATATATATATATAATTTATTTATTTTTATATTTATATTTAAAAATAATATTTTATATTAAAAATTAATATTTTATTAATTTCCAATCAAATAATATTTTAATATCGATTCAGATATTAAACTTATAATATTGGAGTTAAGGCGAACAAAAACCCGCCCTAATTGGAGCGCTGCTTGTGAGTCATCGTCAACTTCCAGTTTCCTCTTGGACTGTGCGTTAATTCCAGTTTTATCTGCAAATTTCAAATTTTATGGATCTAACGAGCGAGGTCTCTCATTTCTTTCTTTCTCTCAATTTTTTAAAAAAGATTAGTTTTTCATTCATTTTATTAAACCATGTTATTATTAAGTAGTATGCATCGAAATATCAACATTGTTCACTTGAATTGGTAGTTTCTCAATCAATTTAGGGTTTAATTTATACATTTTCTGCATTCAATTATGCATATTAGTATCTTTTTAGTTTAACTTAAAAAATTTTCTTTGTTAACAACAATTAGGGTTTAATTTATGTCGAGTCAATAACAATTGGTTTTTGAATTGGTTTAGGTGGGATTAAGGTTGCTTTTTTCTCCAATTAGTTCCAATATTGTTGTTCGGACAGCATGGTAAGCTCTGAGTTGAATCACTTGGTAGAAACTTGTCAGATCTTTTCACCCTTGATTATGAGTCTGTTGCTGATTTGTTGTGATTTTTTTCACAGTTGCACAGTGGGGACTGTTATACCTGTTTACTCAACATTTAAAGCAATCGAAAACAATGATCAAAATGAGCAGCAAAAATGGCTTCTTTATTGGACAGGTTAGACATTTCTATCGCAACTTCGGTCATGTTTTACATGTATTATGAATTTGATCGTCTCTTCCTTTATTGTGGAATGCAATACAAGTTAAATGCAACAGCATTTCTTCCCATTGTTAGCTTATTTTGACTACGAAGAGCTCATAAACTTTTTAAAATATATTCTTAAGTAAAAAGAAATAATGAGGAATTTGTTTTTAATGGACAAGTTATAATTGGGAACAAACAACCACAATAAAGCACACAATGAAACTGCCATTTCACCTTTACATAAATGCTATGCAAAACCTATTTTATATACCACATATGGACTTTAGAGTTAGATGGTTATTTGTATTTAATGTCTCTTTGTGTGTGGTAATGTGACCTGAAGCTGAGACTAATGAACTTCATACTGGTTAAGTTGCTCAAACAGCGTGTATATAGCTGCTTCATGTCACACACTATCAAACTAAATTATTGCAATTGCATTATTAAGCTTTGTTTTTACTTCATAGAAGCTTTTATTTTTGCTTGCAGTTTATGGATCTTTTAGTGTTGCAGAAGTGTTTGCTGACAAAATCCTATTCTGGTACCTTTTCTTAAACCAAACTGTTGCAGAAGTGGTTTCTGTTTTGGTGTTGTTTTGTTTTTTGGTTCATAGTTTGGTTCTCTTTTATAGTCATTTAGCACTGTGAAGTCAAACAAGTAAGTTGTTGATATTCAGGTTTATACGTGAACTATCACAATTTAAAGTTTCACGGTGAACTTCTCTTGCTACACTTTTTATAAGACTCATTTATCATGTGTGGTTGATTAAACTTATTGACAAACAGCTTTGGAATGCTTGTTGTCAAGTTTTTCTTTTGTAGATGATTTTTCCTATATATTGGACCTGAATTATGAAGGTTTCTGTTTACTGATTATTTCTTTCAGTGCTGTTTCTCACTTATTTTTAGGTATAAAGATTTCCTTTTAAGTGTTGCTCCAATATGAGGAAGCACATTTTGTTTGTTTCATCAGGTTTCCACTCTACTACCACGCAAAGTTTGCTTTTTTAGTTTGGCTTCAACTTCCATCTGCCAATGTAAGCTCAATTTTTGCTTCTGTTTCACAGATAGCATATGCTTATTACTTGATCTTGCATGCTCCAATATTCAAGGGTATCCATGTCTTTTAGGGTACAATGGCACTCCTAGGTCCATAAAAAAAATGGATACTGTTAATTAGTCAGCAGATCCTAATATTTCATTATGTTATTTGCAAACTGTATTGAATGTTCTTATTTGTTATTCTTTTCTATATGCAACTATAAGATGTGGTTGAAATTTAGATGAGCAAGGTACTCTTGATAACTGATTACTCTTTAACAGGGAGCCAAGCATTTGTATATGAGCCATCTCCGTCCATTTCTACTGAGGCACCAAGCTAGGCTTGATCAAATATTGGAGTTCATGTACAATGAAATGGTAAGAATATGTTCCTATACCGTTCTTATGACAGGATATGAATTTTTAGTTTTGTAGGGATCATTCAAATGAAACTTGCTATATTTTGTTGTGGCTTATGCCAATCATTTACACTTTTGAGCCACTGGTCCCATCCTCTTTTCTCTCTTTCTTTTGTGGCACTGTCCCCCATCATCTTCCATTCATATCGCCTTAAACAAACAAGCAATCTATTAATTAGTGGCTGATTTTGCTGCCAAACTGGATGGTGATTGCCTTGTTTCTATTTTAGAGTTGGAATTTAAACATGAGTTTTTTCAAAATTCTAGAGGTCTAATAGGTTAGTGTAACTGCAGAGCAAAATCATTAGTGCACACCAAGCTGAAATCAAGTTTGCAAGGGCACTTTCCGTGAAGCTCATGGCATCAGGTACTGAGTTGGAATGTTATTAGTTTTGTTCCATGTTATTAATTGCACTATGTTTGAAGTACCACGTTCTTCTGTAAAAGTATATTTAATTTGTTATTGTGTTACATTTTTCTTTAATCTACTACTTTATGATGCGTTTTTCTGAATCTCTTTGTTAGTTTTTAAGGTTATAACTTCATCTTGTGGTAAATTTGATCCATTCTAAAAGATTAAAAAGAAAAAAAAAAAAAAAAAAGATCAGTAAGGGAAAAAGCTTCCTTGGATCTCAGATTGTCTTCATGTTACCAGTGAACCAGACTGTTTGGGAACTTACTCACCCTGTGCAAAGACAGCAAAATCGTTCCATTGAAGGTTCAAGACAAGTAGGTTCAGATACACAATCAGACATTAAAGATTGAAGCTGTCGTAACAAGCATAATTGCAGATGTTGCCCCTATTGGAATCCTCTCTACTCTTTTTTTCTTTTTGGTTAATATCTGTTTGTATCAACATTTCTCTCACGTCCGATTCGGCACATACAATAGGAGTTTCTGTTGGAAATATGAATGGGGCTCAAGAGTCTTGAATCCTATTAAATGATGGAGATATATATTTTTTTGCAAAAAATAGGAAGCTGTATCTGTAATTTTTACCTTTGCAGCTTTTGCTGGAGGAAAGTTTGATGTAATCAGCCTATTTTGACCACCTTTGTTTTAGATGGATCTTTAAATTGCAGCCTCAACACTGTATCTTAAACAGGCTCTCAGGAACTAGAAATGCATTTTCAGTTTTTTATTTATTTTGTCTTTTTGTAATTGAACTTTCTGTTGACAGCCTCCTTCCAGGCCCCATGGCAACGTTGTATGCGTTTTTCAACCCAAGTCTTTCCTTAATATGCATGAAGAGGTGATAGAGATGGTTTTTTTGTTTTTGGTTTTTTTTTTTTTTTTGGTAGTATTTGAAGTTCTCCCTAATTAAATTTGATACCTCAGTAACAAATTAGAAGGTTGTTAGCATATTTTATTATTATTTTTACAAAAAAATCATAATTTAAAATTATAAGTATTAAAATTTAAATATCATATTTATTTGAATGTTAAAAAATTATATAAATTAATTAAGATAAGATCTCAGTTTTTAATTATACAATAATATACAATGTTTTTAAAAAGTCTGATTAGGAATTTCCCCCCAAAAAGAGCCATCTTAAAATGTAAGACCATAGACGGGCAAAATGTTATGAATTTTAAAATTTGAAATCCTTCTCTTAAAAAAAACCAAAGGAATAGTTGGGATCGATCCAAATGTTTTTTTTTTTCTTTTTGTTTTAAGGTTCAACCCAAAGGTTGGTAGCAATACTAGAAAAAGGCCAGGAAGACAAAGTGCCGAAAGCGACATCGTTTGGCATTTCTCTCGTGGCTTGTCAGCAAATGCCACCAGCACTGGTTCTTTAATAATTGTTGTTTGACTGTTAGCATTAAAATAAAATAAAAAATAAAGACAGCGATCTTCCTTCTCCACTGCTCCATTCTTTTAAACTCGAACAACAACCAGAAGGCCAGATTCTAGAACCAGCAGCCTACTTCCCCTTTTTCTTCAGTTGAAACACCAGAAAAACAAAATGATGGGTGGACGCAGGGAGGGTCCTTTGATGAGAAACGCATCGCACTCAGTGGTGAAATCAAGAATACTGATGGCAATAACCATTGGGATTTCATTGGGTTGCCTCTTCGCTTTTCTTTATCCTCATGGAATCCTCTCTTCCTCTGCCCCTGCATTCCACTCTCGCCACACCCAGGTTTGAATCTCCGTTCCCACCCCCACCATTCCATATCCATTGCCTGCTCCTCTTTCTTTTTAAAAACTTGTTTGTTTGTTTTGAGATCATCCCAGTACCGATTCTGTAAAATTTCTAACTTCAATGTGGTACCCTTTTTTTAGTGTTTAAAATATAGAGGAATTGTTAATTCAAAAAAAAAAAAGATATCTGGGAATCGAAATCACTGATTGGTCTTTTGTGCTCTGCATTTGCTTTTGGTTCCGGGCTTTCAGATCAAATCTTAAATCCCAAATCTCGTTCGTGATTGAGTCTTGAAAATGATATTTATGTTGTAAAATCTTCCTAAATCCGTTATGGTTTGTTTGGGTTTTTAAAGAGTTTGTTGATGTTAGATTTTATCATCTAATCTAGTGCTTATGGGTGAGATTTTTGAGGCATGAATGTGGTATCAGTGAACAAAATAAATGGTGTTTTACTTGTTTCTTTGCTAGGTTCTATCTGCCGAGTGTGAATCGTCTGAAAGGTTAAATGAGTTGAAATCACAGTATGCAGCAGCATCCGTGACAAATGCAGAGTTGAGACAACAGGTTAAGGAGCTCACCGAAAAGCTTAGATTGGCTGAACAAGGGAAAGACCATGCACAAAAGCAAGTCGAGGCATTGGGTAAACGGCACAAAGCTGGGCCTTTTGGAACTGTTAAAGGCTTGAGAACCAACCCCACAGTGATTCTAGATGAATCCGTTAACCCCAGATTGGCCAAAATTCTTAAACATGTTGCTGTTCAAAGAGAGCTTGTAGTGGCACTTGCAAATTGGAATGTGAAGGACTCATTAGAGGTTTGGTTCACAAACATTAAGAGAGTTGGTATACCTAATTATTTGGTTGTTGCTTTGGATGATAAGATTGCTGAATTTTGTGAATCCAATGATGTTCCTGTGTATAAGAGAGACGCCGACGAAGGAATTGATTCCATTGGGAGGACAGGGACAAACCATGCTGTTTCAGGATTGAAATTTCGTATCTTGAGAGAGTTTTTGCAGCTGGGGTACAGTGTTCTCCTTTCGGATGTTGATATTGTGTATTTGCAGAACCCTTTCAATTATCTTTATCGAGATTCAGATGTGGAATCCATGACTGATGGCCATGACAACATGACTGCTTATGGATTCGATGATGTCTTTGATGAACCTCCAATGGGATGGGCTCGATATGCTCATACAATTCGGATATGGGTTTACAACTCCGGTTTCTTCTATATCAGACCAACAATCCCTTCAATTGAGCTTTTGGATCGTGTGGCTGGTCGCCTTGCACGTGAGCCAAAGTCATGGGACCAGGCCGTTTTCAATGAGGAACTCTTTTTCCCTTCACATCCTGGGTATGAGGGGCTTCATGCTGCTCGGAGAACCATGGATTTCTATCTCTTCATGAACAGTAAAGTGCTCTTCAAGACTGTGAGAAAAGATGCTATACTGAGCAAGTTTAAGCCGGTCATTATTCACGTAAATTACCATCCTAATAAGCTTGAACGAATGAAAGCAATTGTGGAATTCTATGTTAATGGCAACCGGGATGGATTGAAGGTTTTTCCTGATGGTTCAGATTGGTAAATTGTGCTTTGCTCATCACAAATTCACAATTACCCTGGGCAAAAGGTTCATCCAGTAAATGGTTCAAAGCATATTCATCAGACAGATATGATTACACATACAGAAAAAGAAAGTGGTGCCTTCCATTTATTCCCTGCCAAACGCTTTAGAATCTCACTCCCCTGCCCAAAGTAAAGAACACCCAGAGGAATATAGTTTTACTTTATTTTTGCCGTAAAGATTTGTTCTGTACTGCTTTGGATTTTTTTTTCTCTTTCCCCTGCCATTTGGCAACATGGCAAAGGTTTTGAAGCAATTCAGAATTCAAACCCGTCAATACAAACTTACTCGATTCTTGAAGCTTTTTAGAAATTGGGGAAAGTAATGTCATTCTAGCGTACAAAGCACAAATTATTCTCTTTAATGTAGTAAAGCTGACTGCTTTAGCTGGGCCATCCAAGAACAAAATCATTAACAAGTTATAACAAAAAAGAAAAGATGAAAAATTCCTTCCCTATGGATCCGTCCAAGATCCACAAAGCCAGCAGCAATCGGAAGGGACTTTTAATTCTCAAAAGCATATACGAACCTCCATGCTCCTTTTTCCCGTGCTACAGATTTCAAGTTTAAACCCAATATAATCTGATTAAGTGCTCCGACGCCGTTGCTTTTCGCTTGGATTGGAAGACATTAATGCTAAACAATGTGATTTCATTAGAGACGATTCAACTTGGAGTGTACTGTAGCAAATTTTGCCATATTTGTCTGGTTTAATCTCTGCTTCTTCGTTGTAGAAAGATCTTGAAGGAAAAGAAAGCTTCGACTGTATTACTAAAACCACCCAATTCACAAGTCTTACAAACTTGACTCATGTATTGTTTGATTAACTGGAAGTCCGAAGCAATGCTGAATTTTATAAGTTCTAAATTCGTATATAAAAACTATTTGGTATGATTTTAAAGTTTAAACATTGAATAGATTGTTATTGAACATTTTGCAAAAGAGAACGATTATTTTATAGAGATTGTGCATCTAACAAGAGATAAAAAAGAATACAGTATAGAAGATTTTTAACTAATGCATGGGGATTTTGCAGTCAAACAATAGAAAATTTTAAACAAATTTACCAAATACATTAAATAAGTTCCAGCTACTTCATATTTTTACAAAATTTTACTTAAAATTATATTAAGTGGCTTAGTAATATTAAATCATTAAATATTAAACAACTCTCATTTGCATGCATTATCCAATAGCACCTATTTATAGAGTTTGATAATAATCGGCCACTTCCATTGCCTTTTTAGAGAAGTGGTTTTTTGTTTGTGCAACTAACGAGAACTAGCAAGATAGCACATGTTCAGGTCACATACTTGATTAATGTCATCACTTTCATTTGATGAGGCATCATCACCCCTAGCAGCACTGTTGAAAGATAATTTGCAATCACAGTCTGGTCTCACACCTTCCTACACCACCTACCCAAAAGGGGAGGGAAGGAAAAAGAAGAAGAAATGGTAGATGAATACCAGAAAAGAAATGATGATGGTAATACCTTCTTGAAGGATCATGGGTATAATTTCTGTAACTTGTACCTTCCTTTTCACTTCTGCCTGACCTATCACCATAATGCCCAACAATTTCAGGGCTTCCCTTAAACTGTCTCAATCAATCCAGCTTCTTTTTCGCTAGCAATATCTTTTCCTTTTTCAGAACTTAGCAATGTGGAATCCTGAACATATTGCATTATCAAAGATGCGATTGATGAGTTAAACTGCTTTGTACGTGAATACATTCAAGCCCAAAACAGTTCCAGCGGACAAAAACAATAAACTAAATAAAAAAATCTTTATGCTAAAAACGAAAAAGATGGGGGAAAACATATCATCGTGAATATGAAGATTTATCCCGACAGCGTTAGAATATGCATGTCTCTTACGATAAACCAGGTTATGGTTGTGGAGCTCGGTTAGGTTGCATTACGTGAGGCTGCAAAAAAACAAATAAACCTCACTAAGATTATGGCGTGACTTACTCAGTGATACTGTTGAGAATTTGGCAAAAAAAAAACATTTCGAGTGTAGTGGATCTGCCATTGCTATAGTACTGAAAGCCCACTCAAGTTATTCAAAGCTGAGACACTGTTTTATACAAATAATTAGTAATATTCAGAAGATTAATGTCTTTGAGTTTATAACCGTGTCTTTAACCTGCATAGAATTTAACCAATTATGTGGCAAAGGTGCAGCCGAACCTTCCTACCTGATACCTTGAAATATAATAGTGATACTGTTGGGAATAATGACTCAAATCCCATAAGAGATTTGTTTGAGATTTGTTTGAGATTTATTTGAGATTTGTTTGAGATTTGTCAGATATTGCTTGATGGACAAGAAGACTTGCAAAAGAAGAATTTCAAGAGAAAGAGGATTCTTAATAGACAAGTTTGACTTACATGAGAAGAATTCTAAGAGGAGAAAGATTCTTAATGGGCAAGTTTGTATGGTTATAAATAGGTGAAGTCTCTACAGGGTTAGGTATGAGAAAAAGATGTAAGAGAGTTGTAGGGTTTTGTGGGATAGACACCCCATAAGAGTATTGGGGCTCTATGTCTTATGGGTGTGTATGTTTGTTTGTGAGTGGACTAGAAGAGATTGAGAGGGTCCACATAGGTATGGTGTATGGGAGCATATGGGTATGTGTTTGGTTATGTTAAAAGGGTGCATAAGGGTTTGGGTTTATGTTTATTTGGGTTGAGAATACTCCATAGGACTAGAGGAGATTGAGAGTGTCTTATGAGTATTGATTGTTGAGTGAGGTTGATGATTTGATGTATGTTTGTAATTCTCTACAACTAGTGGATCTTGTTTCTCATCTGTGGATGTAGGTCAGTTGGACCGAACCACGTTAAATTATTGTCTCTTGTGTGTTTGATTTATTGTTTGATTTCGCTTCCGCTGGTGTGATTGGATTGGAGGCTTTTAGCCCAACAAATGGTATCAGAGTTGTGGTGATCCCCAACAAGTGGTATCAGAGCTGAAGGTTCGAAACGTGGGAAGAGTTGACAGTTCGAGATATGGGAAGAGCCATGGTTTGAGACATGGGAAGAAGCAAGTTCAGAAAGCTCTATTCGAGAGAAGAGTTTGAGTTCGAGTTTTGAAGATTGAGGATTGGTTTGTATGAAGCGTGAAGACACAAGAGAAGAGAAGATGATTGTGAGACTTCCATTGTAGGTGAAGCCAAGCATGTCTAGTATGAAGACAGATGATTGATGGAATTTGAGTCAATGTGGAGATTGTTGGGAATATTGACTCAAATCCCATAAGAGATTTGTTTGAGATTTGTTAGAGATTTGTCAGATATTGCTTGATGGACAAGAAGACTTGCAAAAGAAGAATTTCAAGAGAAAGATGATTCTTAATAGGTAAGTTTGACTTGCAAGAGAAGAATTCTAAAAGGAAAGGGATTCTTAATAGGCAAGTTTGACTTACAGGAGAAGAATTCTAAGAGGAGAAAGATTCTTAATGGGCAAGTTTGTATGGTTATAAATAGGTGAAGTCTCTACAGGGTTAGGTATGAGAAAAAGATGTAAGAGAGTTGTAGGGTTTTGTGGGATAGACACCCCATAAGAGTATTGGGGCTCTACGTCTTATAGGTGTGTATGTTTGTTTGTGAGTGGACTAGAAGCGATTGAGAGGGTCCACATAGGTATAGTGTATGGGAACATATGGGTATGTGTTTGGTTATGTTGAAAGGTTGCACAAGGGTTTGGGTTTATGTTTATTTGGGTTGAGAATACTCCATAGGACTAGAGGAGATTGAAAGTGTCTTATGAGTATTGATTGTTGAGTGAGGTTGATGATTTGATGTATGTTTGTAATTCTCTACAACTAGTGGATCTTGTTTTTCATCCGTGGATGTAGGTCAGTTGGACCGAACCACGTTAAATTATTGTCTTTTGTGTGTTTGATTTATTGTTTGATTTCGCTTCCGCTGGTGTGATTGGATTGGAGGCTTTTAGCCCAACAAATGGTATCAGAGCTGTGGTGATCCCCAACAAGTGGTATCAGAGCTGAATGTTCGAAACGTGGGAAGAGTTGACAGTTCGAGATATGGAAAGAGCCACGGTTTGAGACATGGAAAGAAGCAAGTTCAGAAGAGCTCGATTCGAGAGAAGAGTTCGAGTTCGAGTTTTGAAGATTGAGGATTGGTTTGTATGAAGCATGAAGACACAAGAGAAGAGAAGATGATTGTGAGACTTCCATTGTAGGTGGAGCCAAGCATGTCTAGTATGAAGACAGATGATTGATGGAATTTGAGTCAAGGTGGAGATTATTGGGAATAATGACTCAAATCCCATAAGAGATTTGTTTGAGATTTGTTAGAGATTTGTCAGATATTGCTTGATGGACAAGAAGACTTACAAAAGAAGAATTTCAAGAGAAAGAGGATTCTTAATAGGTAAGTTTGACTTGCAAGAGAAGAATTTCAAGAGAAAGAGGATTCTTAATAGGTAAGTTTGACTTGCAAAGTCAAGAGAAGAATTCTAAAAGGAAATGGATTATTAATAGGCAAGTTTGACTTACAGGAGAAGAATTCTAAGAGGAGAAAGATTCTTAATGGGCAAGTTTGTATGGTTATAAATAGGTGAAGTCTCTACAGGGTTAGGTATGAGAAAAATATGTAAGAGAGTTGTAGGATTTTGTGGGATAAACACCCCATAAGAGTATTGGGGCTCTACGTCTTATGGGTGTGTATGTTTGTTTGTGAGTGAACTAGAAGAGATTGAGAGGGTCCACATAGGTATGGTGTATGGAGCAATATGGGCATGTGTTTGGTTATGTTGAAAGGGTGCACAAGGGTTTGGGTTTATGTTTATTTGGGTTGAGAATACTCCATAGGACTAGAAGAGATTGAAAAGTGTCTTATAAGTATTGATTGTTGAGTGAGGTTGATGATTTGGTGTATGTTTGTAATTCTCTACAACTAGTGGATCTTGTTTCTCATCCGTGGATGTAGGTCAGTTAGACTGAACCACGTTAAATTATTATCTCTTGTGTGTTTGATTTATTGTTTGATTTCGCTTCCGCTAGTGTGATTGAATTGGAGGCTTTTAGCCCAACAAATACGATATGAAAATAATATAAATAAAAGATACAGAAATAATATGATTTAAAATTTTAAAAAAATTATAAATAAATTTAATAAATCAAAAAATTATATTTTATATTTTCGGATCAATATAAACTATAACATATAATTTTCGTATAAAATATGACATAAATAAAATAATTTATATGACATGATGATACGAATTGTCAAATCTATCTACAATATAAAAAATATTATCAAAAAATAGATCTTGAGATTTTTTTAGTAAAGGGCATTGAATGATATATGGTCACAGCAAATGCAAGAAAACAGATACAAAGGAGAACCTTACTTCCCTGTAACCCATCTGTTTTGAAGGTTTGGCTTAGCAGTTGAATCTCTTTCTTCTGTCTCCATTTCAGCTATCTTAACTACCAAAGTAATAACCCAACTTGATTACAAGTTTTTTATTAAATTTATTAACTATCCAAAATTTGAAAACTGTTATAAAAATAGTCAATACAAATAAAACAATTCTCATCTTCCATATCCGTTTTACAAAACTAAATAAAAAAGACAAGAAAAAGTGACAAAGTAAACAGATAAAAACAGTCCTCTGTTTGAATAGTCCTTCACCTATTGATTATGCCGTTAAAAAATATGCTTCATTGTTTGAGAAACCAAAAAAAAAAAAAATCAAAATTTGAAGTATAGAAACCCCAAAAAAATTTGTAAAAAAATTATATTTTGAATTATTGCACATGAAAGATGCCAAAAAAAGAATAGAACTTGAGACTTTGCATTATTCGGTGGATCGATCACATGATCTGCCTGCACATTGTCTGTAAATTATTTTATCATAATAACTAAGCATAGAGAAATTCACATGTAGTCTTCAAATTAAAAATTCAACAATATTACTCTACTCATCAATCATAAATTATAAAATAAAATAAATGAAAGACTTGTTGACGGTGTTTTTGAGATGCTTTAGTCGGGAAAACAAAATTTAAATTTCAAGAAAGTAAATCTTGGAGTGAATACAATCGCACTCCACGTTAGAAGAATTGGAATAATAATAAATCAAAGACTTAACAATAAAGAAAACCCTAATTTTTTTCAGTTTATATTAGGGTTTAAGGCAGTAGAGAAGGAGAATGAAGAAAGAAAAATAACTGAGCCTGAAGCTATGGCGTGGAAGGGCAAATTTCAGATTCGTAGCTGATAGTGATACGTTATGTTTTGTATACCGTTAAGATACGTATGCTCTTTCCTATTTAAAGAAATTATCGACGGTTGAGATCGTCCCGTTAATATGAGCCTACGGTCCGGATCAAAACCTATTCTGGACTTGCTTTAATGGCCTTTTTTTTTTTTTAAATATAAATAAATAAATAAAATCTGCTCATCTACATTGATATTTTGCTCATATAATATTCCCTCCTTTTTTATTTTTTAGATGTCTCAAAATAAAATATTTTTATGTTTACAATTTATTCTTAATTTTTTTATTTTTTATATCAATATTATAAAAATAAATTTACTAATATTAAAAACATTTTCCTTAATATCACGAAAAAAAAAATAAAAAAGAGGGAGTAAATAATCTGAATATAGTTACTATTGAATAAGATGAATAGTAATTATATTAAATTTATATTAAATTTGTGTTGACATAAATATATAAAATATATATTTTAATTTTTTTAAATTTATATATAATTATTAAAAAAATTTTAAATAATTTTTTTATATTATATTATTATTTTATTTTTTAAATTATATATTTATATTATATTTAATATAAAAATTATATGTTAAATTTGTGTCAACGTAAATATATAAAATATATTTTTTAATTTTATTAAATAAATATAATTATTAAAAAATTTTAAATTATATTATTATTTTATATTTTAAATTATTAGATCAAGATACTTTAATAATTAAAAATAATTAACTTAAACAGCAGGAACAGTTAACTAACTGTAAAAAAAATTACGGCAATAAATAAATAATGAGTACTGATTTGATTGTTCTTTTTTAATTTATTTTCTAAAGTGAGTCAATCAGCATTCCAGTCCCACAGCCTTCTTTTACCTTTTTTCTTTCCTTTTTTTAACAAAAACATATTTTACTACAAAATTTTTTTTTTATTTATATTCTCATCTTTGTTCATTAGCCTTCCAAGATAGGACAACTAGTCTCTGTAGTCCAGCTCCAGCTTCCATTTTTGTCAGAACAAAAAAAAAAAAAAACAAAAGCAAAACAAAGGCAGAGAACATAGCCAAATGTCTGGGTTTCAGTCATAGCACACGCTCCTCCATTCTCAGATGCTCTCTTTACTCTGAGAATGTCTTTGCCTTGCATTTTGTCCCTGACTTAACCTTTCTTTGTGTTAATGGGTCTCGTCTCCTGACGCTTCTCTCCACAGAGGCAAGTTGGTTTCTTTCATTCTTCTTATTCTTCAGTTTTTTTTTCTTTTTTTCTGCAATATGTGCTTGATTTTGAGGTTTTCTTACATGGGTTTGGTTCATTCTCTCATTTTTTTTCTAGTTGTTGATTTGTTTTTGCATCTTTAGTCCCAAAGATAGGTACTCGTTGGTGCTTTTTAGTTAACTTTCATTGTTTGGGTAAAATTAGTTGGTCTATTACTTGGTTTCTTTTTATGGTCCTTTTTGGGGGGTTTTCTTATGAATCTGATCTGCCTCCTTCGGTAAATCATTTGCCTATATGTTGCTTTTGGTCTCTATGGAAAGGGGCATTTACTCGGTGCCCCAATGATCTGCTTCTTCTAGTCCTTTGTAGTCCAAAACCAGAAAAGCTAGACATTTTATTGTCTTCAGTGATGAAAATTCCATTTTGATTTACATGCTGTCACCGAGGAAAAGTAATGGTTGAAATTTAACTAGTTTATATGGGATTGGGGATTATATGTTCATTAAGACCAATTTATGTAGCTGCATTCAACTGAGTATTTTAGTTAGTACTGAGGACTAAGAGATGACTTCGATTGCAAAAATAAAGCAGAAAGATTATTTGCTCTTACTAAACAATATTCCACAATGAGAATGAATTCTAGAATTAAAATCCTTTTGCGTTTTTGTAACTCTCTGTGCATAATATATGTATAATGGAATATCCGTATTTTGCAGGTTGGAGCTAGGTATTGACTGATTTTCCAATATCACTGAAAATGCAACCTAAAGATGGCTGGCACTCTATTATGCCTCTTCATTTCCGAGGAAATTCAGCTACTCGCTTTTGCATGTTTCCGAAAGTAAAGTCAGCAGGCTACAGTCCTGGCAATGCTCCTGTCTACCTAAATGTGTATGACTTGACAAACGCTAATGGTTATGTTTATTGGGCAGGTCTTGGTATCTTTCACACTGGGGTGGAAGGTTAGATTAGTTTCTTCCTTTATCAATTTTCATGAACATTAATCACATGGGCATTTCTTTGGCATGAAATTGTTCCGACAGTCTGTTGTAATAATTTGATAATTTCCCTTCTCATTCACTTCCAACTGGAAAGATGTGCTATCATTGAATGCTGAAAGATGTCAGAGATTGATCTTTCCTTTATTTTTCTAAAGCGTGAGATAGTGATGCTACTTAAGTATTTAGTGTTATTTTTGCTACAATGCTATCACATCAGCACGGGGGAAGCGTAAGGTTGTTGTATATAGTTAGACAGGGAAGGAAGGGACAAACAGAGTGATTTGGTACACATTTTTAATATCAGAAAAATTACCACAAGCCCACAATTTTTCCGCTGATAAATGCTTTGATGGGTATGTAGTAATTTCGGAAGTCCATATTCGTCTTCCTTAGATTAATTGTGATATGACAACAAAAAACTCCTTTCTCCTTACATCATAGGCTTACACTATATTTCTTTCACCCATCTTACATGCCCTGCTTCTCCAAGCATAAGTTCCTAGATGCATTGGACAGGTGTCTTACAATAAAGAGAAAACCAATGGCACAAGACATTTAATTGAATAAATTTTTTGGTCATAAAACAAAATACTAAATCGTTTTGCAAAATATTTTCTTCTGTCATTTTTGAATTTCTCATGAACAATGCAGTGTTCTCAGGATGTTGCAAATGGTTTCTCATTATCCCTGTGCATGCTTACAGTTAACGGTGTAGAACATGCCTTTGGAGCTCATGACTATCCAACAAGTGGTGTCTTTGAGGTTGAACCTCGACAGTGCCCTGGCTTCAAGTTTAGGAAGTCGATTTTCATGGGGACGACATGCTTGGACCCTGTCCAGGTCAGAGAGTTCATGGAACGCCAATCTGCGAGTTATAATGGTGACACATACCACCTGATTTTTAAGAACTGCAACCATTTCTGTGAGGATATATGTTACAAGCTGACTGGGAACCAGATACCAAAATGGGTGAATCGACTTGCAAGAATTGGTATTATAACACATTTTATTATAATTTCTAGATATATTGAACTTAAAAATATTTTGGGTCAACATATCTTGGATTATTAAGTACTAATGATGTTGATGTGGCCATAATGAATGATTGAAACCTGTATTTTTTCATCACTTTATGCGACTGCCCCTGTTTCCTGGTGCTCTATGACACACGTTGAAAGTTACTTCAACAAGACTTGAATGTATATGCACATGTTTATGCTTGATTAGTCAAATTAAATGCAAATTAGCTTTACAGTTCTCTAATTCCTATGTCCTAGAGCATGAGGTGTTTAGTAGGCCTTCAATATAAACCTTATGCTGAAGTTAAAGAATTATTGGTAGAGATGATTTCCTGATCTAGGTGATAACTGGAGCAGAAGAAATGCCTACCTTCCTGGAAAGAATTGAAGATGTGGCAATCTAAAACAATGCTTATTGGAGTTATATGACCTACCAACCTGTCTTTTAAAATCATTGTATAGGTCATCAAAAGTCAGTCTCAACGATGTCTTTTTTTATCCTCCTCGCAGGTTCACTATGCAACTGCATACTTCCTGAGGCTCTAAAAGCTTCTGCAGTGCGCCATGACCCCAACTTCCAAGCTGACTGTGAAAAGAAGAGACTGAGAAGTGCCTTCAGCTGCTTATCATCAATCTCAATGCCTCAGAGGGAAGTATCAATGTCTTCACTCTTTTTGCACTCTCATTATAAGGGCTGCCTACCACCATGGGAATTAAAGAGATCTAAAAGCAGCTCATTGAAGCAACAGTGAGAAGGCTATTATTTCCGTGTCTTTTTTTTTTTCTACAATCGAAAAGAATGTTTATTGTTTTCCTCAAAATGTTCAAGCATCGGAGTATACTCTCCACCTTTTGCCTTCCTGGTCACTTGAAAGGGTAAAATCTGTACAAGTTTGTTCTTTTTGAATGGAGGGTTTTGCTTGTCTTTTTGTTCCCTGCTTTTGCCAACCTGTACAGCTGTACTTATGGAGTTTGCTTGTTGTTGATGTTAATGTAATCATGTCTGATTGATTCTGGTGTTACAGAATCGATCAGACCGAACCACCAGATTTGTTCCATACTTTCTTTAGGTGCATTGAGCTGTCTCCATGTTCTAATGTTTTAACCACAGAAAAGGTTAAATAGTGATAGTTTTTTTTTTCACAAAATGCAAATGTTAAAGGCGGAAAACATGTTAAAGTTGCCAGTTGCGGAAATTTTTATTTTCAAAGTTTTACCACCCACTTTTATGCCATCCAATATGTCGGACAGTTCAGACTCTAGACTACAGACCGACAAACGACTCAGACAGAGAGGTCAACGCCACCTCCCAATACATTATCTGACAATTTTCACTTTCATCTGCTTTCCTTCTTCCTGCTGTTGTTTTTTGTTACTGTATATAGTCATAGAAAAAAAATTGATAAAAACTGATTCAGTCTTTGATATAAATGTTATCCCAAAAAAGCTGGTGTAAAATTCTTGCTGGATTCTATTTTGACTTTGGGATTCAGAAAATATCATAATTGGTAAAGGAGGTGGTTGCATATTCAGCAAGAAAAGATCAAGTTTAGAAGCCTCAGATCAAGATCCTCCGAACCCTGATAGGGATGTTCTTGTTCATTCCCTGAACCAAACTCCTACAGCCACAGACTAAGGCTATCACAGTTTAACATAGTTCATCTCAAGAAGCAAAGAAACTAAAAGTATTCATAGTTTTTGCTCAATGTACTGCCATGTAGAATGTTTGGCTAAAAGAATGAAGAAAGGGGTGGATTCCATTAATGGGGTTGAAGGGGTTTTTGTACAGGGTTCTTGAGACACTGCCAGTGGATGTATTGTAACAGATGAGGGTGTTTTAGAAGGAGCATGAGTTGCCTGTCATATCAGTTGATGAATTGGTAGAGGCTGACTGGTTGTTATTTGGTTTTCCCACGAAGTTTGGTTCCATGGCATCACAAATGAAAGCATATTCGATTCTACAGGGCACTTGTGGGAGTAGCAGAGGCTTGCAGGTGTGCCGGCTGGGTTCTTTGTGAGCACTGGGACACAGGGTGTTGATTTTTGGGTTTTTTTTTTTTTTTTACAAGATAGGCTGATCTGACGATTGTGTGATTGATGCATTTGTTTTATTTTGCAGAACTACATGAATTAAGTTTTAATAGATCATGGAAACATTATAATGTGTTCATGAAAATTTTTGGATAGTTAGAGAAGAAATTGATGAAACTGTGGGGAATAACAAGAAGAAAAGAACAGATATGTCTTGTCATTCTGAAAATTTAGGGGATATAAATCAAGGGGTTTCCAAATAACAGATACTTCCATTTAATTTTAGTTGACAATAGGATGCCTTATACGGCATAATACTGTATGTAGTAGGATGATAATGGTCATAACCATAAATTTCTACCCCACTCAAACATTTTAATTTTGGTTTTTCTTCTCTCTGATATTTATAACAAAGGTATGAACTTCAGAAAATGAATGAAGATTAGTGCTTATTCCAGGGGTGCAGGCGTTTATTCTGGTGATGGCACAGAAGTACCGAGCGAAACAGAGCAGGCTCTTGCTGAGCATCAGGGAAAGTACATGACTGCAATGGTCAAGACGTTTGCCCCTCCTCGTTCTTTTGTACCAGGTGACTGCCTCATCAACTAGGCCTTGCCCAAACAACATTGTGTTTGTCTCCGTCATATCACTTGTCAATAGATTTTACGTTAGTTCCATTTTACTGCTTTGCTTCCCTTATTTGTTGTAAATATTGTATTTATATATGATTGAAATTCTAATGTTTTCTAACTGTAATATTAATTCATTAACAATAATGTGGGATGTGTTCTTTGGTAGCACTTTTTGCTTTAGTTCAATTGCAGTTGGAAGAAGCTTGTATTCAATTCGATATTTTAATTTTCTTTTGGTGTATAACATTACAAAATGCATTTCTCATCCATAAATTCTAGTGTGTATGTTAAGAACTGATGACCAGTAAATTCTAATTCGCACTGGTATACGGATTCATTTAGTAGAATAGTACATTGGAATTGAATGAGAACTTACTTAAAACAAGAGAAAGGCCAAGAAAAAAATAGTTTACAGGATAAAAGCATGATTTCCCTACCATTAAGGTAAAATACATGTTCTTGCTAGTTCACAGGATAAAAGCATGATTTCCCTACCATTGAGGGAAAATACATGTTCTTGCTTGCAAAAATGAAGTAAATAAATACATGATAAAAAAAAGGTCTCAAGTTCTACATCCCTGAACTTGTTTCACTCAAATAAAGAAAATAATAATGATCCAACCAATTTCACAAACACATGATAAAGTTACAGCAGCATACAAACACCTCTGACTCCAAGTATGCCTCACATAGTCCCAAAGGTATGTCTCCTAACAACAGGATAGTCTTACAACCGAATATACAGCCGTTGAACCTTCAAGCAAATGGATGCCTTTTTATACAAGTTGCAGCTAGATACACCGAGGGAAGAAGGTGTGGCCTACATATCCACCAGCCATTGCTCTTCTCACATTGGACTCAAACATTTTGGGGTTGTCCCTCAAAACAGCTGCTGCATCATGATTAAGGGGATCCTCATAGTTGGGTTCCTGCATGTACAATCATAAACTGTAAATAAAATGGACTAACCAAGTCACAAAACCACTTGTGAAAGAAAAATCAATACCGTGAAGAGATGAAACAATCCATAAATTATAGTGTTTATGTTCAGAACAGGTTTCCAATCTTCTCTTAGAATATTGAGGCAAACATTTCCTTCCAAATCAATGTTAGGGTGGTACACCTGCAAATGAGATGTATTGTTTAGAACCCCTTAACATGTAGCTAAGAAACATGATTGATATGTCACCACATTATGGTCAAGACATGCTTGTGTACCTTTGTCTTGCATTTGACCTTAGGTGCCTCATGGGGGTAGATGGGGGAAACTTGGAAAGAGAATAAAAATGTGCCACCTCTGCGAACAAAACCAAATAAGTGCTTGGTTCAGAGCAAAAATAATTGAAATGGTGCTTGGTTCAGTTTTTTTTTTTTTTTCATTATTTGTGGAAGGTTCAGAAAATATTAAGCTTATAGACAATTGAGAATCCTGGTTGTAAGGAACCTGGATGCATTTTTAAGCACCAGAGTTTAATGCATGGTACAGATATGAAGAAAGGCCTGCATTAGATTGCCCAGTCCGATTGATTAACAGTGTTAAATGCAAAGACGATCAAATACCACCTGGGTTGTTAAAAACATTTTTACTATCTGAACTGACAACACAAGCTAACTTTAGCAGCCATTGATCTTCAGTCCAAAACACCAATCCTCTATTCTACAGAATTTTCAGACCTCAAAGTAAAAATATATCATAAGGAAAGACGGCTGTGTTGAAAGAAAGAGGGCTGCTATAGCAGTTGACATTTGAACAAAATAAGGAGGCCATGTGCATAAGATCACTTACAGATAATAACCTTCATCAGGCTGAATGGAAACATCGAAGTTCATCAAGTCATCTTTGCCATTGGGAAATGATATGCAGCATGTTTTTGGTAGATTCAGTTCGCTAATATCTACAAAACAAAGCACACAAAAATCAGAATAGGAACTCTTACAGGCAACTTATGCTAGTTGAAGTTGGTTTAATAGTGTAGAACTTTCAAACATGTAAGTGTTTTTCATAACAAATTACAAGAAGAAAGTTTTACAGATCACTCTTTAAAACAACCCAATTATGACTATACTACTTTCTAGACTCTGTAGAATCCACCAACAAAATTCTCATAGCAAACAAAAATAACTCTAATTTTATAAACATGGCAATTCATTTTTCTTGATAGCCAATCATAGAAGACTGGGACTGACACTTTATTCTTATTTTTGCTTTGGTTGAATCAAAGCCTCAGGACATAATGCTTCAAAACCATTTATTTTAAAGCAAGTCAAAATTGATTCGAGAAGTAACTAAACATGACAATTATCAAAAGATATAAATCAAGAAACCTTTATGAAGGCGTAATTCTCCTGCACTTTGCTTCTTTACAGGCGCCTTCCCATTAGCATTTTCTGCAGTTTCCCTCTGCTTTTCCTTGACCTTAAATAGCTTGATCATTTTTCCTAAATTATGATAACATAAGAATGAGAAAGGAAGGCACATGACAGACAAACCTAATGCACACTTGAGCAGAATACACATATTAAAGACACATTAAGGCACTCTTGTGCAGTATAAACACGTTAAAAGACACTCGAGTAAAAATTCACTTAACAGACTAATGTATCCAGAAATTATAACAAAAGAGAGCATCCAAGACCAAGAAAAAAAAAAGACTAGCGAAGATTAAACTGACATCTAGCCAAGAAACCACAAGTCTTCATTTCACAATTCACCAAACAATACATCTTCAAGAAATTACATCCATAAAGAAGAAACCACTGCTATTGAAACAGTTGGCAAACACTACCAACCTCTAAGATACACATTAGACAGCTAAAAGAACCAAGCATTTTGAAGAATGTATCGGGAAATTGGAAATTAAAGCTTGGTCAAAAGCAAAACATTCAAAGTGAATTTGCAAAAAGGAAAAAAAAAAGAAAAAGAGGTTATCTAATCACAAACAGAAAAGAGATAGCCAGTAATTAACAGTTAGCAAATCTTCAATCTTTTTAAAACCCAACAAACTTCGAATTTCACTGATAACTTGAGGCCAACCTTCAAAAATATCAACCAATAACTATATAGAAATTCAACAAACTCAGGAAAAAAAATAAAAGCAATTTTTTTCCATCACCTATGAGCATGATTCAACAAACTCAGGAAAAAAAATGAAAGAAAATTTTTTCCACCACCTATGAGCATGATCCAACAGCAAATAAAAAAAGAAAAAAGAGATGATCAGGTGAACTGAACCCCAAAACAATCCAAGGTTTAGAGTGATCATCAAAATCAAACAAGAACAAGAACAAGAACAAGAACATAAACAAAGTCAAAACTCTACTGTTTCAAGCAATCAAGACCACAATCCAACCAAAAGCAACACCAAGATTGAAATTTTAGTCGTTTATTAAGATACGAATAACCCCAGGAAAACAAACACAAAAAGAAAAGCAAATCCAAATTCCAATTCAGATAAAAGCTCTTGAATCCACCAAATAGATAAACATACAAACAACTGAAACGCTGATCGGGTTGGTCGTTTAGCCTGGTGAAAATACAGCCAAAGGACTTTTGTAGCGAATAAAACCAGAACTGCAAAGGAATCTCAAAGCGTAAAAAAATATGTTTATTATATCCAAAAATAAAATAAATTTTCTTTTTCTCACGGGGTCAATTTTTTCGCATTCGACAAAGAAATGGTTCCCTGCTCTGTATCTTATTTTTAACTCTACGCTTCGGTTAGTATCACCAATAGGAGATCGCCACGAAAGAAAAAGCCGAGTTTTCCTCTTTGGTTTTCTTTTTGGTTAATGATGGAAATTTATTGTGGCGATGTAGGCAATTACATATAAATAAAAGATAGCCTGACCGCACAAGATCCGGTGGTAAATTTGGTGATCCGGCGTCAGTTTTTCCTTTTCTCTCGCTTTTTTTTTTTAGCAAAATAATTTCTTTTTTGGGAGAGGATCCTCTCCAAAAAAAATCAACGGTTAAAGATAGTCCACATCAGTCATTTTATTTTACTTTTTCACCAAAACTATGCGTTTCACTTTACCGGCACCGTTTTTCTTCACTTCCAAAACTGAAGTCATCCAAAAGCAGGTCCAAAAATCTGCTATTCAAATCAAATTGCTACCAACTTCAAGCCAAAAAAAAGAAAAAAATTGCTGCCAACTTGGTTAATAAAGAAAATTTTTGAAATTTCTTGGTTACTTATGATATAATTTTGACAATTTTAAATATAAAAAAATATTTTTAAAAAAAGAAAATAAAAAGAAACAAAAACATGGGCCAGCTCAAAGACGAGCTTCAACATTGGGTTACTAGGGACGGGATTGAATTTGTTCGACAAATGTCTTGGGATTTTACTTGTGGTGTTGTGCATTTTTAAACCCAAATCCTCTTTATCTTTGGGTAAAATTCCATAGATGTTTAGGCCTATCTTTTCTATTATCATTAGCAAGTATCCTAAAAGTAACACAGATCCGAAGAAGAAAAATTACCAACAGAAGCGTGGGTATTTTTTACTGTATTTTTCTGTGCAAGCAGCGAGCATGAACTTTATCGAGATGGGTTCTTTTTCCTGCTAAAGTTGAAGCAAAAATACATCTTTTCATCTTTTGTTGCATTACCCAACTTGAAAAGAACCAGCCAGTCATTAATGTATGACAATTTTTTACCCATACTGTAAAAGCGGATCAAGATCAATTTGAGAATAGCAACTTAATTTACTTGGATTATGCACTCATTTATATTTGTTAAAAAAAAAAAAAACCCAGTACAAAAGTACTAAAATAAAGAGAATGGAAAAGAAATTTGACATTAATGTATGGGGATGTTACTAATAAACGCCTTCGATTGAAGTAAAAGAAAAGGCGTCATCAGCGAAACCCCCCAGATTCTGGTTTTGGCCTCCCATGAATCAAATAAGCACCTTTACCTTCAGCTCATTTGGGATTATGAAGGCCTGCCCCCCTAATTCAACTAAAAACAAAAATACTGCAAGAAGAAACGAGAAAAGAAAAAAACGAAACTGTTACAAGTTTTCACAGTTTCGGCTTTAGTTGGAGACTTGGAGTTCATCTTATTATTTATAGTGTGTATTTTGACGAAGTGAACCAAAACCCTAGTCCTCTCTCCACTGGACTTCATGTTTGTTTTTATGTTTCAGCCCCTCGTTTTGCTTTAATTTTCTATTTTTGCCCCTTTAGCTTTTGTTTTCATGTTTTTGGCCCCTTTAAAAATTAACCCTTTCTAAATTATTATTAGCAATGAAATCCACATTAGTGCTATAATTTTAGTGATTGGAGGGTACATGTTGCTTCATTATATTTTTATATCAGTAGTCAACAATTTATTTGATGTAAGGAATTACGTTTTGGTATCAATATATTTAGAACATAATTAAAGATAAAAAAGAAAGATATTAAAAGAGATCAACAGTCAATACCCAATTTATTACATCTCAACTTGATAAAAGTTTGGTAAACACTAGCAACACAACAAAAACAATTGCAAACACAATCAAATAACAAAAGAAAATTAAGAAAATTCATCAATGCAAGGCAATTGTGTGTTTCTCACACATCTAGCAATGGAAAGATTTCACCAAATTGCATTGTACAGGAAGGGCAGTAGCGCGATCGAAATCGATCCCGTAAGCATTCAACCACTTGGAATTCTTGAAGAAGGAAAAGCATCGCAGGTCAGCATCGTTTAAAGCCATGCAACAGGCAGGTAAAGGCGGAGAAGGATTAGGATTTGCACCGCTCACGCTTGGCTCACATGCCTTAAATCTCTCTTTGCTCATCCCACAGATTCTTTGACCATTTGTAACAAAGGGTCCGGACCCAAGGGCTAAAGCTGCTACCACCATTGTCACAATGACAAGCTTTGCATATCCCTTCATAACACTGATCTTAGCAACGCTTTTCTTTTCTTTTGCTTCTAATTTCTTAATTCCTTTTGAATGGCTCCACGAGAGAAATAGGGTTAGGCTTTTATATAGAAAATTATCGTTGATACGGTAATCTAAAACATAACTTTTATATGAAACATTATATAATATATGAATTATCAGTATTTTACATTACATGAAAACGTATATTAGTTGGTTAGACTCCCTTGGAATCAAACTATATGCAAATTAAACCATTGCACCACTTTCTAAAGGGACTGCTTGGTCTTTTGAGATGAATTAAATACTGAGAATATGGAGTAACGATGTGAGTCATCAAATTCTCGTCAATAATCAAACTATCGATATAGTTTTGCATGGGGTTTGGAAGGGGCAGAAAATGGCGAAGGCTTGGGACCTATAGGAGGTGGCAAATTGGCGTTATTACTATGGGCCATTGGTTCACGGGCACACATTGGAGGTGCAAAGGGTCGGTTTGTTTTGGGAATTTTATCCTAAATCTAGTTTATTTATATAGTTAAAGGAAGCAGGATGTGATTCAAATTTCGAACATTCGATCAATGGCATATATGTTTTTGCTCTTCATAAAACAAAGGGGTCAATAATACTAAATATTGTAGACAGCCCAATGATATTGCCATTGTTTTTACAATAACTAGAACCTCCAGACAGTCAAATGTGTGAAGGAAGAGAACCTAGAAAATGGAAAGGGTTAATGTCTCCAACAGCCGCAAAATTTTTAATATGATTTGTGAATTTTAAAAATTTTCAATATAATATCTAAATTATGAATTTGTTAATTAATATAATACTTAAAAATTATTTGTTAACCATATGTCATCATTTGAAAGTAATATCATTAGAGATAAATATTGTATTAACTAAGTTTTTTTACCCGTGCCATGCACAAAATTTTTTATTATATTTTTTATAATTTAAAAGTTTAATTTATACTAATTTTTATGTTATATATAAATAAAAATGTTCATAATCATCTATAATTTATAGTAAAAAATTACAAAAGTTGTCTATATATAAATTATTATAAAAAATCCAAATAAGCATCATGCAAGTTTTGAGAAAATTAATTTCAATAAAATTTCTTTGAATTATAAGAGTAAAATTACATATAAAACTAAAAAAAAAAAAAATCAATCTCTTATTCATAATTACATACACTCTTAAAAGTATATATTATTTTAGTGTAAAAGCTAAGATTTACACATATGACATATTATTTATAGGTTGAAAACTTTAATTTTCTTTTAATTTTTATGGGTAGTAAATTTATAAATTTTAATTTGTAATTTAAATGAAAAAAAAAAAGAAATTTAACCTAATAATTAGGATTTACCATCCAATTAATGGAGGTAAAGATTATTATTTATATGATTTTGAATTCAAAATTTTTTATAAAAATCAAATAGATTCACAATAATCATAATTAAATTTAACATTTCAAAACCAACATAGATAGTATTCAAACTCCAAAATTATCAAAAGAAAAGTGGCTTATATGAATTGTGATTACATGTTTATATATTAAATTATTACATGATAGGTTTATATTTTTTTTTTAAGAAAAAATGTACTTTTTTGTAATATGATTGTAGATTTAAATTAAGATTTATGATTTTAACTATTAAATAAAATTGTAAATAATTTGGTCAAAATATAATTTTAAAATTAAATGTGTAATTTTAAATTGATATAAAATATATTTCTCTTTTATTTTACATCATAGAAAAATAAAGATAAAAAAAATTTACATTTATCCAAGTCTTTCAAAATATATAAGTTTTATCCTAATTTAAATCTAAAAAACATATCTCATACCTTACTCTTACTCATATATGAAATACAAAATTTAAATAGTTTTTAAAAACTAAATTCCTAAATTTTAGGAACTATAAAAAATTATATATCGTCTAAATTAATATTCACATAAATTTAAATAAATAAAGTTTATAGTTGAATTATTGATGAGGAATGATATCTAAAATTTATCTGTTAATTACATGTCATCATCTGAAAATAATATCATTAGAGATAAATATTATATTAATTAAAATTTATAATTCAAATAACCTATTAAAATTTTTTAAATTTAGAGATTATATGAAACATTTTATGAGAATTCAGAAATTGTTCAAGACATTAAACCCAAACAGAAACAATTTCTTTCAATGGCATATGAGTTGGATGTTGATGAAAAATTATTGGATTGCACTTATTATAAGATATTGTTGGTTATGAAATCTGACCTGATCTCTCTCGATTTTGTCTTTTGATAAACGAATTATAAATAAGAGAAAGATGACCATTACTTTAAAAGCCGCAATGCTCCAATCGATGGTTATAACATGTGCTATGGTTTTCTCCTTCAACACTAGTTCCTTAGTCAACGAAGTTACAGAAGAATTATAGCAAAGATTCTTTAGCCGAGGTTACTCGCACAAGAAAAAAGTTGGGGCTTTGACGCCGGGTGGTTACCGGCTTTTCTGTTGGATTTAAGTGCGCCGGTGCTCTGCTTCTGCTCAGACGTACATCAACCACTTTATATTTAGTATATTCTTTTAACCTCATCCGTTATTTCTTCCAACTCAGAATCACAATTTCGGATTTAAGTTTACGTAACTCTTTCTCTTAGACACTCGAAACTCTTTTCATCCTTATCAGATGCCATTTGCTCTACGAAACCACCAAATTATACGTAGTATTGAGCCTTTGATGTAGTAATAAATATAAATATCCTAAAAATAAATTAAAAAAACAAATTTCTTTACCCACATCTAACATTTTTTGCACGAAAATAAAACTGTCACGTGAATTTAATAAAAAATTTAAAACTAACTACTCAATTGATTTTATAAAAAAAAAAAAAAATTTTAACCCACATCTCGCATCTTTTACGTCATGGAAAACAAAACTGTCACGTGAATTTAATGAAAAATTTTAAAATTAAATATTTCATCGATCTTATAAAAATATGATCCCTAAGCTTTTAATCTAATGATTAAAGACGTTTGAGGAGACATCAAGGTGTAGTTTCGAATCAATTTTTTCCTCTTTTTTCTTACTTAAATTAGGGTTTTATCTTTCTGATATAACAAAAAAAAATCTTATAAAAGTATGATAGTTTCTAGCTCATATTTTTTAGTAATTATTTTTTTAATAATATTAAGTTATTACTTTTACCCTAAAAAATAATATTAAAAATGAAATTAAATCTTTATCAAAGTGCATCAATTAATGGGACCATATTAATTATAAAAATGAATTAGAACTTTTGAATCAACCTTTTAAGAAAAATGGATAAAACATTTAAAGTAAATCCTAAGCTTGTACATACATTTCATTTAAAGTATATATATATATATATATATATATATATAACAACTAAAAGTATTACAGGAAATTAAAAATATATATTTATATTTGCTGAATTCTATACATCATCAATGGGACTGGCTAGGCTTGATTGCAAGGTTTGTCTAATTGTCCTTACCCTTATAAGCTCTTTTACGTACACTCTTTCTAATATCAAACACATTTTATTATTATTATGTGCACTAAACAATTTGGAGGCTTTTGCTTTTCAATATTATTTGTAAAAGCAAAGTTTATAAACTTTTAGAATTTTAATTTTATATAATCTTATATTATGCACACAACCTAAGCTTTTAATCATAAGGGTGACTTTACTCATTATATAGACTTCTTCTAATCACTAGTCTTAAATTAAAAATATATTATATAGTAGTACGTCGCAGTATATGAAATTATTCAATTCAAATTATTAGTATACAGAAATAACACGTGTCAAAATTTGATCAATTCTAGTTAAAAAGATCATGCAGGTTAATACTTTCATTTCTTGTGGCAAAAAAAGACTTTCATTCTGTATATCAACTTACGAATTATCTAATAAAAAGTTAATTAAAATTAATTTTTCGTAAGCTGAGCAAAATCAAATAAATTAAAATAATTTTTTTTTCACGTTTATTGGGTATTTTTTATTCATCTATGTTGACCGTGGTTAAATATATGACATATCAATTAATTTTATTAAATTTGCGTAAATGAATATCCTCAATTATAAAATTCCAGAAAATATTTAATCTCACATTAGATAATATAATAAGTTTGAGCCTTAATAATGAAGTAAAGGTTGAATCTTTTATTGAACATTTAGAAAAAAAAATATTTTTTATTTTTTTAACCGAAAATGAAAAAAAAAAACACGTGGCTTAAGAAGAAAAGCAAAGCAAGAGAAGCGGGAAGCACGTGACGCCAAGAATATCTCTTTTGTGACGTGGCGTGGAAACAATGTTGAAATGGCGGCAGCCACTATATATTCGCCACGTGTTTGCTAATGACGTGTCGTCTCTAAAACCGGTTAAAATATATTTCCCCGAAGTGCTGGCGCAATTGTCACCAGATTTTCCACTCGCTTTGCTTCTTCATAGGCTGTTCGGTGTTGTATAATGAGTCTCTCCTTGTAAAACACTCCTTTTGACTCAAAAATTCACAAAATTGCCATTGCCTTATTTTATTAACGAATTATAATGAAATATTTAATTTAATATCTAAATTTTAAATTTTTATATTATAATATTTAAATTATAAATTTATTAATTAATATAACATTTGAATAATTATTTATTTTTTATTTATTATCATTTAAAATTAATTACGTTAAAAATAAATATTATTTTAATTAATAAATTTATAATTTAAATATTATATTAAATATTTTATTATAATTTAAGAATTATTTATAATATTAATTTTTTTAAGAAAAATGAAAATGAAATTAACAAAACTAAAGCAAATTGAATCCAAGCAAAGATCTTTGTTATTATTTTTTAAAACAATAAAAAAATTATTTTTAATCCAAATAGCATAATTGTCCATTGAAGTAGTGTTACGTAATACAAAATTTTGTTTTGTATATCTCTTAAAAGATGAATACCTGACCGTAAAATCCTATAAATAATTTAATTTCTAGCAAATTTGCACAAAGGATTTTTGTTTGAAAGAGGAAACAATAACACAAATAGAACCGTCACCATCAAGTTTGAAAAAAAAAAAAAAAACCAATACCATTTACCAATTTTCTAATTTATGATGCCATCTTGTCAACCCTAGCCAAATGAAAAATGCTTTATTTTTAATAATTTGCAAATAAAAAAAAGTCAGCCAAAAAAAGAATTGCACGACAAGTAAAAATGGGCATAGTAGTAATTTGACAAAAGGATATGCAGCAGCCTTTGGTTAACCAAATGCAAACAGAAGTTCGTATTTTTCCAAATGCAAAGACTTGTAGTCTTCTCCATATGAGATGTCAACTTCATTTTCTTGGAGCTTGAGCTTTCTCTCTCCAAATATTCTATCAACTTTTTTTCCTTATAAAAAACCCTCAAAAAGATCAAATCTTTAATGTTTTTTTTTTAAAATTGTAGCTTCTCTTTCTTTGAATTGTAGGCTTTAGCCATAACAAAGCTCTTTCCTTTTATTTGGTAACCGTTGCTTTGCGCGTTAAAACAGTGAAAAGAAAGAGTTTCTAGAGAGAGGGAGAGATGAGATAGAGAGAGAAAGAAACGTCATTGCTTCCCACGTTTTCCATGCCTCAATTCTCATTTTTCGCATGCGTGCAAGCTATTGCCAAATCTCTTTAAAAGCTCTATTTTTTTTTTTGTTCTAATCTCTTGGTTCTTAACGGTTTGAAGTCTCGTTTAAGCTTCTTCATCTTTCATTCACCTCCACTTATTTTTTCTCTTATATCCATCGTTAATTGCTTTTTTGTTGCATGCTTTCTTTTTTTTTAAGATAATCCATCAACTTTCCTGGCTCATTTTCTTTCCCGTAATATTTCTCTTCTGATAATATTCAAAACCCTTCATTTTCTTGTTTTCTGTTTGGGTTTTATAGATTCTCTTTCCGGTAAAAATTAGAAGTGTTCATAATCCTAATGATTTTTTCTTGGGGGGGCGGTCTAGTTTGGTAAAGTAGAGGCCTTTGTCATAGAAAAAGATTGAAACTTTCTGGACCATATTTCAAGCTCAGGGATTGGAAAAGGTGTTGAATTGAATTTGGATTTGGGTTTTTTTTTAAAAAAAATTTTTCTCTGCTTATAGATCTGATCTGACAGAGCTATGGGAAATCATACGAGCAAGAAGGCAACTGAAACATCATCAGCTATCAATCTTGGCGGCAATCTGCAGTACACAACTGAATTGAGTTCCTATGAAGCTGCTTGCAAGCTAGACAGAGACTTGCAAACCTTTGACACTAATGTCCAAGCTCGAACCAATCAAGTCATCAACACTCTGGCAGTTGGTGTTGAAGTCCGAGCACTTTCATTTGATTCACTAAAAGAGGTAACGGAATGTCTTTTGGAGATGAATCAAGAGGTCGTTAAAGTTATCTTAGAATGCAAGAAAGATATATGGAAGAATCAAGAATTGTTTGAGCTGGTCGAAGAGTACTTTGAGAATAGTTTGCAAACTCTTGATTTTTGTTCTGCATTAGAGAAGTGTCTAAAGCGTGCTCGTGATAGCCAATTGCTTATCCTTGTTGCATTACAACAATTCGAAGAAGAAAGTGAGGTTGGTGGGAATCGGTTTGTGAGGACATTGGAAGAATTGAAGAATTTCAAGGCAGCTGGTGATCCTTTCACTGAGGATTTCTTTCAAATCTTTCAATCTGTTTATAGACAGCAAACAGCAATGCTCGAGAAATTGCAACTTCGAAAGAACAAGCTTGACAAGAAGCTCAAATACATTCATGCTTGGCGTAAGGTATCAAGTATGATATTTGTTGCCACATTTGCTGCTGTGTTGATTTGTTCAGTTGTGGCAGCAGCTATGGCTGCTCCTCCAGTAGCTGCAGCTCTTGCTGCAGCAACTTCTATCCCGTTGGGTTCAATGGGGAAGTGGATTGATTCTCTCTGGAAAAACTATGAAAATTCATTGAAAGGACAGAAGGAAGTGATTAGCTCCATGCAAGCAGGAACTTATGTGGCTATTAAAGACTTGGATAACATCCGGATTCTCATTGATCGATTGGAGATTGAAATTGAAGCCCTCTTGCAGAATGCAGATTTTGCAATAGACGAAGAAGCTGTGAAAATTGTGATAAATGAAATAAAAAAGAAGCTGGGAGTGTTTATGAAGAATGTGGAGGATTTGGGGCAACAAGCTGATATTTGCAGCAGGGATATCAGGAGAGCAAGGACCGTGGTTCTGCAAAGGATCATAAAACATCCCAACAACTGAAATATTGAGCTGGTCACTGTTGATAAGTCCTAGAAATTTGCCTTCTTCATTTCCATGTTAACTAAATTGATTGATTTCCAACATTCTGTTTTAGACACTACATGTTTGTTCAGATTAATGTTCTAAGAAAATAATTGAAGACTAGTATTAACTTCATTCGTTTTATATATGTTTAGGTCACAGATATTGTTGATTTCCATTTTGGAAATGTTCTTTTATTCTATGTAATTATTTCTATGTAATTATTCTATGTAATATGACTAGAAAAGCTGCCTACCTGACCTGAAAATCTCCCTTGCGAGCACACTCTTACTCTTCAACCAAACTTTTGACGGGGTCTTCAAAATGTTAAGTGGGGGATAGACAGTTCCACAAGAATTACAGTTTTTTTTTTTTCTTAAAAAAGCATATAAAAAATGAAAATTATCTGGAAATAAGAAAGGGAAAATGAGTTACTTTATATGGATGGGTTCAATTCGAGTTTAGGGTAAAGAAAAAAATCAGCCGTAAAAATCGGAATTTTTTTAAATTGATAATTTTTTAGTTAAAATATTTTAATTAAAAAATTGCTTTATTGCTTTGACCGACTTATAACGGCTCTATTTTTATCCGTTGATAGAAGGTAGGCGATGCGATTTATGAAAAAAAAAAAAAAAAAAACAGTTTGCGAGAGAATTAAAAGAAAAAAATCTCACATCAAGAAACGAAACGGAGAAGAAAAAAAAAGAGGGAATTGTTTGGCAAGCAAGCGATACTCTTTAACGCCTGTTTTTTCCATTTAAAAAACACTTCATTCTTGTATCCACTGAGATTTTCACCAATTTTTTCACTTTCTAAAACTCCGATGAGTTCCATGGAAATCGATTTCAAGGAATACCAACTGCGCTGCCAATTACATCATTGTTATTCTGTTACATCATTGTGGTTCTCTTATATTGAGTTTCCTGTATAAGAGATCAATTCACATTCTTGTGAAGGAAAAAAAGGACTTGTCTCTGACGGAGCCGGAGATATCTAGACTTGGTGCCATTGTTAAAATTCTGACAGACACATCACATTACCATTCTAGCAGTTTTGCTGATGTTGACATTGCCTTCTTACTGAAATTGCTGAAATCATGGCCACTAGCAATGATATTTCCTGGTTAGTGTGGAGAAACTTTTAAGCTTATAATTTGTGGTCTCTCCTTGAGTTTGTTTCTCAGGCATGGTGGTGTAATTTCAATTCTGCTTTGCGGGAGAGGCTGTCACACTTTATTTTTATTTAAAGGCAAAAGGATCAAAAAGCCTTCAAACAAAACTTCAATAATTATTTAAGTTTTAAATATTTTATTACAATCAATCAAGCCTTATATTTTATATTTCGAATCAATTGAATTCTTAATCATTTATTTTCATCTAATTGAACCCTTAAATATATATTTTCACTCAATTAAACCCTCAATTGAATGAAAATAATTATTTTTTTGAGGCTTGGATGATTATTGAATTTTAGTTAGGGCTTTTTTTACCATAATTCTTATTTAAATTGAAGCACCACCTCTATGTTAAAAGCTGAATTTATTGGTTATCCTTTCTTATACTTTCTGATCTTTTACAGTTATATGCTTGTTTATTTTGACTATAGTCTTCCTTTCTTATATGTTTGAAGTTCATTATTAACCTTTCCAGCTGCGTGCTTCTTCCCGAGCAGTTATTAACATTCTGAGGATGATCGTCCTGCACCCTGATGGGGCGATTATGCTTCTCAGGCATGTTGGAGTGAATGGTATCTAGATTAAAGATTTTCTCTGCTATTTACTCTGCCTTTCTCTTTGAAAATTAATTGTTGCAACTGGCACTGTCTCTGTAAATTTTATAAATGAATCTAGCCCAATTTTATTGACAAAACTCCAATGAACTGGTTAGCTCCTATTTTATTGATAAAACCTCGAATGGACTGGTTGATAAACGAGATGGCCTGAGAATTGGGCCTCAAGTTGCTCTGGTAAAATTTGCCCTTAAAAATCTATACATCTAGTAGTAGATAAATGTTGTATGCAACTAAGTTTTAACTTCACATTTGTGTGCTGAACCAGATGTGGTAATGGAAATGATTATGAAAGTCACAACAGATCCTGCTGCACTTCTTGCAAACCTTTTAACCAGCATCCGTGCTGTAACTAATTTTTTCACGAATTCATGGTCCTATGGCTGGCTGCAGAAGCATTGCAGTGATGTGAGTTTGCTTCCTATTTTAGCATATTCTGAGTTTAATTACAAGTTTTCAATGAGAAGTAACATTGAAATGTTAGTAAATCATCAAGGTTTTTGACACTGGTCTTTTGACTATAACTTGAATGTGAAATTCCTTGGCAGTTAAGTCTCCTTTTACAGCCTTGACGTGGCCTTTTAGTGTCATTGGATGTGAAAATAATGTGCATAGCTTCCACTCTGTTTATTTGTTTTTGCAGTTCTGGTTAGAAATTTAAGTTTTTCTTTTCTTTTCAATAAATGTTTAAGCAGATAAAATTTCATATTTGCATGGCCTTAATGGGTGCTAATTATATACTCTTGATGCTAACCAAAAGTTTGGTGAAACACTGATTTGCCAGCTAACTGGATTGTCAGCTGTAGTCTGATTTGTTTATTTACTCTCCTGTATGACTAACTGTTACTGCTGTCCGTTGCTTGTTTGATGGGCTTGCATTGCACATTGGATGTTAACAGTATCATAAAAGGAAAAAGATTTATATAATATACAACACATCAAGGCAACAAATCTCTAATTTTCTGACTCTAGGGCACCTGCAAATTATATTTCTGAACTTTACTTCGCACGTTATATTTGCATCTGTAATGCTGTAGTCTACTTGATATCTTCTCTTGGATATCATTTGACTGAAAAAATAGTTCTTAGGATAATCTCTGCGTATATTTCTTGCTCGGCATGTCTTGCATTTTAATAGTGCTTTTTTATTGTCTTATCTTCTGAGATTTTGGTATTGCTAACAGGTGTTTCTGGTCTGCTAGGCGTAGACTAGCTTTTGTTTTCCTCTTTACTTTAGGGTTCAGCCCTTCTTCATCAAACAAAAGAAAAAAATATAATAATATTTTCTGATGATTTTATTTTCTGCTATCTTGCAGATTCTTGATGCAATTTCGAGTTGTCTCGCATTTCCAAACAAGAATTTGCAGTTGGCTTATGCTTCCCTGATACTGAGGTAAGCATTCTGTTTATGTAAATATGCACACATGGGTTTTATTTAAGTGAAACGATTTGTGACTTTGTATATTGTTTGTTCTAAAAGTTCCTAGCGGACTTCTTTTTGTCTTTAGTTAGCCTTTTTCACTTCTGTAGGTGTTGACGTTGAAGACAGGGAGAGGGGGGGGAGGGGGGGAGGTTACTACGTTATTGCCGCATTGTTTTTTTTCTTGTTGACTTTGTTAGTTTTATCTCCTTTATAATTGCTTTTGTTGCTTTGTTACTTACATGTTTTTTAGTTTTCATTGACTATTGACAGGGAATCACTTTCTCTGATGTAAGTAATCATATGTGTGCTTTCACAGTTACGAACTGCTGCTAACTGAAAGGACGAAGAATGCCAATCTCATGTTCTTTCAGCAGCTTTGGAGGTTTGTCTTATACTATTATTCCCTAACTTTGGAATTGAATTCATCTTTCCTGATTGGATGTCTCTTCCCTAAAAATTTAATCCTGTGCACAATGTAGTATTTCCTTAGTTGGCAATGGACTGCAATGATCTTTTTGTTCACTAATGATCTTCAGCGATGGAAATCCTGAACTTTACCCATCCTTTTCCCTTTTCACACGCATTGCTGAACAGGAAAATCTAGAAGTTGATTCAAGGTTCCGAGCTTAGTTGCCATTGGATCACTGGTATTTTCTTCTTACTCATTTGTTCTCATTTTAACCCCTCCCCCTCTTAAAAAAGTGTGTTTATATTTTGGTAAATGCCTAAACACTGAAAGAAAAAGAAAGAAATGGTATAGGGAATGTATGATTAAAGGATGTGAGGAAATAATGATTACTCCAAATTTCTCTTTCCATTTTGAGTAAAACTTTTCATTACCTTACAACAACATCCTATTCAACTTGATCCTAATATTCCTCTGTTTCAAATACCAATGCATTGGTGCTACACTCGTATGCAAAGTAAACCCAAAATGCTGTGGAAACTCCTTCAATTCCTCCAAACTCCTCTCCATTTCTTCCACCAAGAAATCATACTTTGGCCTCAAGTTATCATCAATGTTGTACCCAAATAATTCAGGCATTCTAGCACAAAAACTTGCAGCCTCTTCATATCTTAACTGTATGCTCCTCAAGAACCTAATCTTGACCCTTAGCTTCTTCACCGTAGTATTCAATAGAAACGCCTAATGTTTGTTTGGCTTATTCAGTTTCTCCGCCCCTAATCCCCTGAGATTCTCAAGGGTAGGCCTCAAACAGTATTCCACGTCCGAAAAGATTCAAAATATTTTTGAAAATATTTATTTATAATAAATGAAAAAATTGTAAACTAAAATTGGAATAATATATTGTTATATTTACAATTATTCACAAACTAAACCATCAATTATTTTTAAAAATTTTTTTTTTGGGTGTTTAGGAAAAATTTTTGGAGTAATAAACCTTCAAAAAAAAATTTTTTTTTAATTTTTGATGTCCATGTACACTTCAGGACAATACTTGCATCCGTCCCTGATTCATGGACAGAAGCATGCAAATGATCAAGAATTTCGGAGGTGTCAAAGTTGGGGTCAAAGAAAGGCGAGGCGGGAAAAGTCTTGGTCATGGATGCCCTTGGACTTGAGGAACTTAATGGTGGAGAGAAGCTGGTCGACAGTTTGAGGGGATGGGAGGTTTTGAGGCTTAGAATTGGAGTCTATAATGCCTATGGCTTTGAGGTTCACGGTGAGAAGTGCGGAATTTGAGGTAAAGGGGAGTCAGGGTTTTGGGTGTTAGGAGTTGGAGAGATGGCAGCAGCATTGTGCTTGTTTTTCTTGTTTTCGCGGGCAGGAAAGGGAGAAAAGGTGAACCAACTGCAATGGCTGTTACGTGGGCTTTGGACAGATAAGGTTCTTCTCTTTCTTTTTCTTTTTAAGTTTCTTTACATAAATATATGAGATTATAGGTCAATCATAGTTCTTAAACATTGCTTTCATATTAAGAAAATGGGTTAAGTCAAAAATCAAAAACCAAACTATTTAGTTTTCAAAGAGTACGGCTGATTTAATTACACTTGAAAGTTGAAATTGTAGGCAATAGGCTGGGCATAGGATAAAGAGTGTTTGGATTTGG